GAATTTCATAATTCCTTCCATAGGAGATAGAATATAAGAACATTGCACCCCTGGCCAAACACTGTAGCAGAGGCTTCCCATCTCAGTACTTTCCTGCTAATTTTAGAAGCTTTATGTCACCTGCCTGGGAGACCAAGGAGAAATAGATCTTTTGAAAACTGCCCTCTAAAATTCAGAGCTTTTCCCTCCTCAGCTATTAAGCTCTATCCCTGGGATACACTTGTCAGAAGTACAGCCCACGCAGTGAGCTATTCTAATAAGTGAAAATATTTTTATGTGATACAAGTATAAAAGGGAAATAAGCTTCAGATAAATACATTTCATGTTGTTTGGACAGCACAGGACAAATGTAAAACATTACATTCTTCCAAACAGATCGTAACTTCCCACCCCCTTGTAACCCTAAATCTGGAGATTTCTTTCCTCTTCTAGGCTCACAGTCACAGCCCCTCTCCTGTTTTAGCTAGTGTCATACTTCCAGGTCCACAAAAAGACCTGGGGAGGAGGGCTTTTACTGTTCAAATTGTGAACTGTAATTGCTGTCATTTTTTTACATGGTAAAAATAACTAGACGTTGGGATGGAGGGAATAAGGAATAAGAGGAACTAATTTCCTTAAGTTAATTATTTTTCAGAGTGCTTTAAACCCATATTATTTTCTCAGTGTAGACAAACTTCATATTCTCTAGGGCTTTCGGAATCCATAGTCTAAGTGGATTTAATTGTTCATCAACACTTCATCAAGAACATGGACTGTTTATTTTACATTAATTTTCAAATGTTACATATATATTTATCCTCACCTGAGGACAAGCTTATTGATTTTGGAGAAAGAGAGGAGAGAAACATCTGTGTGAAAGAGAAACATCAGTCAGTTTTCCTCTCGTATGTACCCCAACTGGGGACTGAAAACACAACTCAGGCTTGTGCCCTGCCTGGGAATTGAACCCCCAACCTTTTTGTTTATGGGATGACGCTCCACCCACCTGAGCCACACCAGCCAGGGCTGTACTTTATATTTTAAGTCTTCAAAGAATGGGAATTTGTATATATGATAACATGAATGTGAATTAACCATATTGTTATGCTGTTAGGTTAGCCAACATAATACCGCTTTTATTTTTTTTAATAGAGTACACATCAAAGCAAAGACCAAGAGAGTGGTACTCAGGGTGGCTTCTGGTTGTCTTTATTATATATAAGCCCCTTTGGCTCCAGAAATGTTACTGATATTTTTTCTGACACAACTCCAAACAAGCTAATTTGCTTAATCAGTGAATTTTTATCAGATACTACATTAGGTACATAGTTACCAGGTCAAGGAAATAGTCAGCAATTTTGCCTTTTCATATTAAGAAGGGAAGAGGTGATAGAGAATTGAACTACTTATTTCTTTGGTTTGTCTTCTCTTCTCATTGGATATCAGCCCAGTATTGGACATGCACAGAAGAAAATAGTTGGTCGTACAGTTTGGCTGACATTATTAGCATATGGTTAATATTGCACTTGACACAACAGATAAATGAAATTATCTTAAACACAAGCAATAATGAATGGATAGCTTGTCATTCATAAATAGCTGAATGGTTTTCTTTTTCCCAAAACTTTCAAGATGAAAGATAATTTCATCTAGTTATACTAATTCAAATTTATTTAGAACCTATTTACTTTTCTTCCTTATAAAAGTAGCACATGCCTGTTAAAAAAGTTGAAAACAGAAATGTATTATAAGCAGGAACGAATTTTTACTGTCTGATCACTACTGAAAATTTTTTGAGACCCTACTATATAAAGATTTATATTCCAATTTTTATAACTTTTTCTATTTGAAAAACATATAAGTGCTAACAAGGGCAAAGAAAAAGCAAAAATCACTTATTCTACTACCCAGTGGCACTATTAAAATTGTCAGATATGTCCTAACAGAATTTTTTCCAGCCACCTATTGTTTTAATTACATTATATAAACTTTTTAATCCCCCAACTCTTTGTAAAATATTTTTAATATTTTCCACCTCACTAATACTCTTCTGCAACACAGGTGGGGTTTATTTTGTTGTTGTTGTTGTTGGTTTTTTTTTTAAGATTTTGTTTATTTTTAGAGAGAGGGGAAGGGAGGGAGAAAGAGAGGGAAAGAAACATTCATTGGTTATTGCCTTTTACACGTGCCTGGACCGCAGACTGAACCCACAACCCAGGTATGTGCCCTGATCAGAAATCAAACTAGCAACCTTTTGCTTTGCAGGACAATGCCCAACCAAACTGAGCCACAGTTTTTAACTGCTGCATTGTATTTCTGTTTTGTGAATGTACTATAATTTGCTTAATTCCCTATTTTGGATCATTTAAGTGGTTTTCCGTTATTTTTTGCTGTTACAAATGACAACATACACACATCTCTGATTATTTTTTTAAATATACATTTTTTCCAGTTTAAAATATAAGCATTTTCCTATGTCACTGAAAATTCCTTTTAACTATTATATGCTAACGCGGATAAACGGGTTTAGTTTTCTTTTGCTAGATTCAGACTCAGATTTGTTTTTGGTAAATGGATCAATATCTGTCATAGATATATGCTTCTTAAAATGATCATGAGCAACAACAAAATAATCAGTAGCTGACCAACTATTGTACAAGTCCAAGAACAATAGAAACTGTCAAATATTGAGAATTGAGCATTGATAGGATGAAGGTCTTCAGCAAACACTTGAGTTTGGTTTTGTCCATGTGTAAAAAGCTCAAGCCCACCAGGAGAGCCAAGGTATTCAAGACTCTTAATGAGTAACTCCTTGCTGGGTGCAGCATTCACATTCCGTGACTGTCTATGGTTCTCATTGTTCTCATCCTTTAAAAACAAAACCAATTCTCCCCACCCTCCCACATCGCAGCCCCAAAGCCTGGGAGTGGAATTGTGGCTGAAACTCTTGAAGGGAAAGGATAAAGAACTCTCTCTATTTGCATAGTAAATATAATTCCTTTTGCATAACCTATGTTCTCATCTGGCAATTGATTTTATATTTGTTCAGCCCATCTTGGTAGTGGAATTTGTGCTACATCAAAATGAATGAAAGTAAATTAATATTGAGAGAAGATAATGGAGATAAAGACCTTCTAATGTTTATAAAACCAAGAGTTTGGGTGATAAAGTCAAGTCCTCCAAGTGTGATTGCTCTCCTATATTTGCTGTCCATCATGGCACATGCAGCTGTGTAACTACAAAATGTCTTCTCCTAAGACATTTTGAGTGGTTTTTTTTTGTAATTTGAATTTGAACAGCTTCTTTTCAGCACCTAAGATAACATAAATCTCTCCATGGAGTGTGTATGTAATTTTGATTGGTATAGTGTTATGGGTTTTTTTTTTTCTTGAATTCTATCGTTTTTGTAACTACAATGTATTTTTAATGATGTTCTTTAGAAGTTAAAGACAGAATTTTAAAAAGGGAAATGAAAATCACTAATAATCCTGCAGCACAACTTAATATGTTTACATACACACATACATACATACATAATATATTTTCTGCCACCCTTTTAGGCCAAAAGCATGCTCTTCAGATTTTCACAGTTGTGCTCAATGGGTGTATTGTTATGATTACACCAGTGAACATTTTAAAATGGTATTCATATAGAGAACATTTTATGAATTAAGTACTGTTATTTCTGTTTTACAGATGAGAAAACATAGGTATAGAAAGAATACACAACTTACCTAAAGTCATACATTTAGTGAAGGGTATATTCAGTAAATTGACCCTAATTTTTATTATTATTACTAGTAGTAAACTTTTTTCAGGTTCTCTTTAGTTAAGACCTGGCTACTTTGCTTTAAAAGAACTGCTTCAGTGGACAGCTGTTTTAATTATTACGGAGTCACAAACCCCTTTAAAAATCTGGTAAAAGATGTAGATTCTTTAACCAGAAAAATGTGTGGTTCACAAATTTTTGTATAAAACCTCAATCTGGGCATGTTGTTTTTGAAAACTATCTGTGGACTCTAGAGTAGTTGTTACCAAATTGTAACAAGTATATAAATCATACCGGTTGCTGGCTAAAATGTAGAATACCTGATCTCATTGCATAAAGTCTGGAGCTAGACATAAAATCTTCCCTTTAATAAGCACTTCAAACGATCTATGTGCAGGACGTTTTAAGAACACTGTTTACAAAACTCTATCCTAAGATTGGAGAATCTTGTTATTCCACTGCTGTTTTAGAGAAACTACTACACAGTACATATTGTATGTTTTGAAACCGGTTTTTATTATCAAATAATTGTACATTATTACAACTGCCATTAAAAACTCTAATGTTGACAGTAAGGTGTAATGTTATTGCTAGTACTACCAATCTACTTCTATCTTTAAATTTTCTGTTTAGAAGAATCTCATATATATGTCTGGAAAAATATGATTTACTTAAATATTTCCCAATTATGTGAATAGTGTGTGGAGATTATTCATTGGTTTCCTTGTTAATCAGTGACTTTTTAAAAAAAATATTAAATTTATTGAGGTGACATTGCTTGATAGGATCATATAGCTTTCAAGTATACATTTTTATCATATGAAATCTGTATATTGCCCTGTGTGCCTAACACCCTAAGTTAAACCATCTTCTGTCACCATATATTAAGGGCCCCCTCCATCCCCCCCACAGCAACTCTTTGTTACTGTTTTGTTTTTTTTTAAGATTTTATTTATTTATTTTTAGACAGAGGGGAAGGGAGGGAGAAAGAGGAGAGAAACATCAATGTGTGGTTGCTTCTTGAGTGCCCCCTACTGGGGACCTGGCCTGCAACCCAGGCATGGGCCCTGACTGGGAATCAAACCAGCGACCCTTTGGTTCTCAGGCCAGCGCTCAGTCCACTGAGCCACACCAACCAGGGCTTATTACTGTTTTTTAATAGGATTTTCTCTCAGCAAGTTTATTTCTTAAGCCATTTTTAAAAATTTAAAAATTTATTTAAAAATTTTTCTGTAATTATTTTTATTTGTAGGATGAACTTTCTGATGTTAGCCAAGGAGGATCTAAAGCTACCACTCCAGCATCAACAGCTGCTTCAGATGTAGCAGCACTTCCTACTGATACTCCCTTAAAGGAAGACACTGAAGGATTTGTGAAGGTTGCAGATACACCAAATAAATCAGAGATAAGCAAGCATATTGAAGTACAGGTAGCCCAAGAAACTAGAAATGTATCAACAGGTATGAGACTCTTGTTCTTTTCTTACTGGCAGAGTATTCAATAAATCCAGATGTTGTGGATTTGAGAAAATTGATCATTGGGTTGTTGGTGCTTTAGATTTATAAAATAGATAAATTAATTCATTATACTCAATTATAAGTAAGCTTAAAGAGGTGATGATTAAATAAAGTTTTGAAGAAAAAAATGTGGGCAGCTGAAGAGCCTGAAAGATAGGAGGATACTGTTTTTCTGTCCCTGCCTCAGATCATTAGTCTTGAGTTTCTCTGTATTACACCCCTTAAATAGGAATGAAAACAAGGAGTTCTGGCCTAGGATATGCTCCACTGTGTCCCAAGAAATAGAAATAAAAATTTTGATTATTTATTAGTTTCTGATATTAACTGTTAACTAAATATATGACACATTGCCTTACACTGTGTTTCCTAGATCCACTCTGTAAAATTTTTTTTATGATCAAATGATGTATTTACAACCATAGACGGCAGCAGGATTTTCGTATTAGGGATAGTGTGTAATATATTCATTATTTATATCATCTTGTCCTTTTGTAAGGTTCTGCAGAAAATGAAGAGAAATCAGAAGTTCAAGCGATCATCGAATCCACTCCTGAGTTGGATATGGACAAAGATCTCAGTGGATATAAAGGATCAAGGTGCTGTAAATGTCAGATTAAGACATTTCACTCTTCTTTTCCCTCTCGCAGAAGTATGCTAGTGTTCTTTGGTCTCTGACCAGACAAAATGCATTTAAATGTTTTGCTGAAGAAATGTTGGTATTTCTGTTTTTGAAACTGGACATTGTATATGGTTTAAGTATTTTATGAGATGTTGCCTTTGCAGAATCTGGTATTAGGAGCATGTGGAAGGGCAGGGGAAAAAAGACAAAGAATATCCCATACTTTCTGAAACTTAAGGAAATATAGAAGCAGGAGTGGGGGAATTAACAATTAGAGCAAACTTTGTTCCTTCCCCCAGATCAGGAAGAAGAGAATGTACTCCCTTCAGAAATGTAATTGTCTCATTATTGGAAGAAATTCATCTCATATTACATGGGGAGGGTGTTTAGTGGTAGGAGGAAAATGGTTATATATCATCTTAATCAAGGTCATCTGAAATAGATGGTGTTCAAGGATGTCAGACAGGAGCTACTGCCTTTTAATTTCTTCCATAAATTTTATCCTTTAATAATGACCATTAAAAATACATGCTCTTTATTGATTACTGCTAGATATTGTACAGTATGCAGTAGTGGTTAAAAGCATAAGCCTAGGAAAAGACTGTGTGGGTTCAAATCCTGCCTTGGATTTGAATCTGAGGTAAGTTTTGTCATTCATAAAAGGACTTTATAATAATATCTCAGATAGTTGTGAGAAGTGAATGGATTAATATATGTTAAATTACTGGCAAAGAGCCCAGTTCAATAAATGTTAGTATTACCATCATCATTATTTTACATAATTCATTGTCTGATGCTCTGTGTCTGTTTTGCTCACACTTAATGACTTGTTCTCCATTTCCTGCCTGTAACATTTAAACTTGGCTTCCATTATTCAGGGAGCTGTGCTGCTAGAAGTGAGGTCTGACCTAGGCCTCATACTGCGCTTGTGTCGTTTTTCACCCCACCCTTCTGTTTCATGTTCCCCCTTGCGCGCTCCTCTCTGCGGATTGCTGGTCCCGTCATTCCTGGGCCTTACAGGGCTTCTGGCAGCGTACGCATATCCTCCCTAAACCCCGCTGGCTTGGGCAGTTTTCTCTTGTCTGTTAAATCAGTTTCTGTTCTTTGCCCATCTGTTTTCCGTCTTAAAGAATTTTGTTCACGTTTCATCTGCTCTAGTTGATTTTTCTATTCCCTATGTCCTGTGGGTCCCTTTTTAATTCCTCCACTGTGACTTCAGTTACCTTTTGAATTATTGGGTGATAAATGACTCAGTTCAGTTCACCATGTTTAATTGGAAATCCTGCATAGATTCTTTTCTGTTACTATAATATGCAAACATACATGTATTTTCCCATTTCCTTCCATTCCTGCAAAAAAGGATTACATTATACATATTGTTTTGGCATTTGTTTTTTTTAAATAGCTCCATATAGTATATTTTTTTAGTTTATAAAGCTCTATTTTAATGTTTTTAACTTTATATATATCCATAACTTATTTCACCTGCACCCTATGAACTTAGGTTGCTTTAGCTTTTTGCTCCGATAAAAGTGCTGCTCTGACGATCCCGCTTGCGACAGGGTTTTTATAGGAAATATGGGATATTTTCTTGACATCAAATTCTTGGCTCAATGGGAACAGGTAGTTGCATTTTAACAAAACTAGAACAGCCATGCCAGTTTATACCCAGGCAACATAGAACATGGTAGTTAAGACCATGGATTCTGAAGCCAGACTGCCTGCGTTTGACTCCTGTCTCCTTCATTCATATGCTGGATGATCTTGGCAAATTTCTCAACCTCTTTTGTTTCCTCTTCTGCAAAACTGAGATAATAGCAACACCTACTTTTTAGAGTATATGTGAGGCTTCACCAAAATAATATACGCAAAGCACTTAGGTTGCTTGAATCAGAACAGAGTTGTGCTCTGTTACTTGGCCATCGTGTGTGCTGCAGCCTCACTGCGAGAACATGGTTTTCTTCACTAGTTATCTCTGTGGATTGTAATGGGAATTTCTTAGGAAACCTTTGAAATATCTTTTAAATCACATTTTGTATTACTTGTAAATTATAGGCTAAAAAATGTCTATGTAACTTAGTCTATTGTATTCATTAGCACTGTTAAAGTCTTCGTAGTATTTATTGATTTGGTTTTGTTATTTTTGTTACATAGCACTCCTACCAAAGGCATAGAGAACAAAGCTTTTGATCGCAACACAGAATCTCTCTTTGAAGAACTGTCTTCAGCTGGCTCAGGCCTAATTGGAGATGTGGATGAAGGAGCAGACTTATTAGGTATGATAGCTTATCTGAAGAAGTATCATACTGCTTTAAAAATAGATTTTTTAATGATTTAATTGAAAATTCCTTTACAACGTCTGTAACTGCTTAGTGGTGCAGAGTTATTGCACCTTAGATAATTAATAGGAATATATTCTTTGAGATCATGAAGGTTTTAAATGAAAGCATCTTTGCATATGGATATGCCTAAAATTGAATTGCACTTAAATTTGTATTTTGAATTCATATATAGTACACTTGTTTTTTGAGACAGTATTACACATAAGGAACACAGTAATGTGTGTATGTAAAGGTATAGATTTATGGATAATTAGTTCCTGGCTCAGATAGGTTTCATTAAATTTTGTTGACCTTGCCCTGGACAGTGTGGCTTGGTTGTTTGGAGTGTTGGCCTATAAACTGAAGGGTTGCAGGTTTGATTCCCAGTCAGGGCACATGCTTAGGTTGTGGGTTTGATCCCTGGTCTGGACATATGCAGGAGGCAGCCAATGTCTGTCTGTCTCTTTCTGTCTCTCTTTCTCTCTGTCCTTCCAACCCTCCCCACTCCCCTCAGCTGCTACTCCCCCTCCCCCCAACATTTCCCTCCTCTTCCCTCTCTCCCTCCCCCCCTTTCCTCTCTCTGAAATTAAAAAAAAAAGTTGACCTTAATTAAATATGAAATTAAACACTTGATTTTTCTGAGATTTCCCTGAGTGTTCTGTTTCAGCTATGGGAAATGTAATAATTTTAGAATGTGTGTTGCTGAAGAACACCTGGTTTAAAAAGAATAGTACAGTGGCTCTTCTATTTATCTGGTGACCTTTGCCAGACAACTTAACCTCTGGGCCTTAGTTTCTTTGTTTATAAAAGCAAGAGGTTGGACTTTTATTTCAGGAATTGGGCAAACTGCAGCTCATGGACCAAATCCAGCTTACCTCTTTCTTATGTGTGTGAATGAAGTTTTATTGGAACAAGGTCACACTTATTTGTTTATTGTCTATAGTTGCTTCTGCACTACAACAAAAGACAACTATCTGCAGCAGAGATCATATGGCTTAAAAAGCTTAAAATATTCACCATCTGACCCTGTACAGAAAAAGCTTGCTAACTCCTGTTCTAGGTCATCTCTAAAGGTCTTTTCTACAATAATTACATGATTCTGACCCATGTCAAATGGCTTTGGTGTACCTTTTCTTACAACTTAAGACCTTACAGAAATTGAAAACCTTATAGTATTTTTAAAAATCTATGCCTCTATGTTAAATTATTGATTACCAGTTATGTCCTTGACAGTTTGAAGTATTTTTCTGAAGGAAACATTAAGTTCTGTATAAACAGTGCTTCCAGTCTATCTAGAAAGAGAGATTGAAAGTATATAAGGAAATGCATTCTGTGTTAGACATGGACTCCCATTTTTAGAGTCTAAGTGAAGTAAAACATTGGAATTGAATGAGTTTACATTTCTCAAAGAGGGCCAAAGGATTAATTCATAAAGAATACCCAATTTTTACATTTAAATTTATGTTTTAACTTTATTTAACATTAAATTATACATGAAAAGTTCCTTTAAGATTTGACTGATTTAACCCTGACTGGTGTGGCTCAGTGGATGAATGCCAGCCTGTGAACCAAAGGGTCACCAGCTCAATTCCCAGTCAGGGCATATGCCTGGGTTGCAGGCCAGGTCCCCTGTTGGGGGCATGCGAGAGTCAACCACGCATTGATGTTTCTCTCCCTCACTTTCTCCCTTCCTTCCCCTCTGTCTAAAAATAAATAAAATCTGTAAAAAAAAAAAAAGGGGGGTTCAGTTGGTTTAGGGAACTGACTCCCTGGCAAAATTGAGGGGCAGATGTAAAAAATGCTAGAAAAGATAATTTTTAAATGTTTAAATTTAGATTCAAATTTATACATAGTAAAATTCACTCTGTGGTGAATATTTTGAGTTTTGACAAATGCATAGAGTTGTGTAACCACCACCAGAGTCATGTACGTCACTGACAAAGTGTCCTTCATGCTGCCCCATTGAATTTAACTAGAATGAAATACTTTTTAATGTTTGTTTACTCTGCTGCCTCATAGTCCTACATTGAGTAATCTTAATTTTTGAATATTAGGCCAAACTTTTTTTTTTTTTTGTAAAGAGTTAAGAAGTCACATAGTACTTAGAAATAATTGTGGTCTTTTAAATCAAGGATTTTCTAAAAACTTTTATCTTTCCTTTCATCTTTAAGTAAAAAAATTAAGCATAATAAATAGATTAAAAGCAAAATTCTGATACTGTGGTTTCCTTTCCACTTTGAAAATAGGAAATAGACTGTAAACTACTACCTTTTTACTTTTGCAGATATTGATATATTTATTTATAGAATGTTTTAAATTAGAAGATTTTAAAGTATTTCCATAAGTGTAGCAACTTATGCCTACATAAACACTTTTGGTCAAAGATGATAGTAAATGAAATTTCCAAGGCACTTATTTGTCCTTGGCTTCTCTTCTGTGCAGTTCAGTGACAGCAATTGAGGTCTAATACTCACTAAATGGAATATAGCTAACTAACAGAATTGTTTCCCAAGGTTCATTAATTGGACTTGGGTTGATAAATAAGTACATGACCCATTTCTATAATTCATTTTTCATTTTTCTAATTACCATATTATTATAAAACATCTCTTGTTCAAGGATATAAAATTTTTCTGATCATTATACATGTACTCAGTGCTTATTACTTTTTTCTGACTTTAATAATTTAAAAGAGATAACCCTTCACAATTTGACCTTTATCTTGATTGGTATCTCATCCCGTAACTTTCTTATTTTCATAGATCCCTTTTTCCATTCACTTTAGTCAGCTGTTCCCCATGACCACATTCTAGAACTTAGAAATCATACTTTTATGCATCCTTATGTTGGGATTTTCTTTCTCTTGATTATATTCTATATTTTCTACTTCTCCATCTTTATTAACTTCTTTCTATTGTTATTTAAACATGTTCAGGTCTTAACCATTTAAAAATAAAAATACCTGACTGGTGTGGCTCAGTGGGTTGGCCATGGTCCTGCAAACTGAGTGGTCACCAGTTGATTCCCAGTCAGGGCACGTGCCTGGGTTGCAGGCCAGGTCCCCTGTTGGGAGCATGTGAGGGGCAATCAATTGATGTTTCTCTCTCACATCAATGTTTCTCTCCCTCTCTCTCTTCCTCCTTTCCCCTCTCTCTAAAAAATAAATAAATAAAATTATTTTTAAAATAAAAAAAAAATACTGCCCTCCTCTAGCTTCAGTAGCTACCCACCCTTATCACTCACTCTTCTCCCATTTCTTGTCATGTTTTTATGCAGCAGTACCGATGAGGTGTCTGTTAGGTGCTTGGTACAACTCTAGATGCTGTGCTACATCAGTGAACAAAACAGGCCCTGGCTGGTGTGGCTCAGTGGATTGAGCACCAGCCTGCGAACCGAAAGGTGGCTGATGAGATTCCCTGTCAGGGCACTTGTCTGGACTGTGGGCTAGGTCCCTGGTTGGGGGCGTGTGAGAGGCAACTGATTGATGTGTCTCTCATACACTGATGTTTCTCTCCCTCTCTTTCTTTCTCCCTTCCCCCTCTCTAAAAGTAAATAAATAAAATATTAAAAAAAAAAAAGATGTTGACAGTTTCTTAGAGAGAAAGAAAAACAGGCTTCTTAGAAGTGTGGCTACTTTTAACTGGCAAGTTTTCCCAAGTCCCACTTGCATCTCAGCTGAGTGCAGCCTACCTGAGTGGGCATTCTACCCTACACTCACCTTGCCTGAAACAGCCTTCTTGTTTGCTGTATCCAGTGGTTCCTTCTCAGTTATTTCACATGTCCTTAAAACTGTCTTTGCTGGGTTTTTGTGATACAAGACTTTCCTGCATTCTTTTCTGCCTCTGACTTATTTCTTTTTAGGCTTCTTAGACTATTTCTTTTTAGGTTTGCAGGCTCCTCTCCTCTACCTATCTTTCAGGTATCAGTATTCTTGTTCCAGGGCTGCTTCTTTGGGAGATCTTATGTGCTCTTCTTGTTGTTTCTTGGCTTTTATGGCTAAGAAACCGTAAGTTTTATGAAACTATTGTTCCATAGTTTTCATCTCCATCCAAGATCTTTTTCTAGAGCCCCAGACTATTACTTTCAAACAGCCCATAGGCAGCTCTAGGATGATTCTAGAGCTTTACACTTGATATGTTTAAAATTCAGTTCTTCATCTTCTGTATTGTTCTGTCCCCCAAGGGTCTTCTGTACCAACTTGTAGTACCTGAATGAATGAATGACCTCACCATCCAGGCAGTTCTCCATTCTAGATCTCTCCTTCTTTCCTCACAACCAATCACAAAGAATTGTTTGCTCCCTCTCTTTAGAAAAGAAAATATACGCACACCTGCCTCCATCTTGCCTCTGCTTAAATGGCCCATCCTCCTCTAGGAAGTCTATCTTGATCCTCTAGTTAAGGCTTAGTTGTCCCTGAAATGTATGTCCATAGCACTGCATTCTGTCTATTATGCCACTCTTCATACTTTACTGTAATTTTTTTTATGTACCTGTCTATTTGAATAGACTGCAACTCAGTGTGCCCAAGTCAACTATGTCTTTTGCTCGCTCGCTGTTGAGTCTTTGGTACATTGCACAAAACTAAGTGAATGGATTCGAACTACATAGTTCGAACGGTTTTGTTTCACCTCTAAGTCTGTGACTCTTTTGGAGTTAAAACTTCTTTACTGGAGAATTCATAAGAGATCAGTATACTTTTGGAAAAGTGCCTATATAGAACTAGATAAAATTCTGCATACTTTCTCAAGAGATTAACAGATAATTCAGGAGCCCACCTATGGACCTAACTTGAGATTCAAAGCTAAAATCCAAATGAGATGTCTATGATTTTGAAAACTATCAGGCAGGTTTTTTGCTTGTTTTAATTGTAAAGTTTCCAGATACGTTATAGCCAAGTTTATGCTTGATTGAAGTCTTGAATAGAAGTTGGGCCACTTCCAGTTACGTTTCTCTTTTGGCTACAAGTTAGTGTTTATTGATATATTTCAAAGTGAAAATTTTGGACAGTTCTTTTGATGATATATTAAATTTATGAACTAGATTTTTAAGAGATTTCTTCATTGGGAATGTGTAAACTTTAGAAACTACATTATAGGATATGACTCCCATGTATCTCAATTTCTCATATTTATAATATACTTTATTGGATTTAGTTGATGGTTTCTGCACATCTTTTCAATTTTGTCTCCTCTCTCTCATTTTGAAATGAATGAGTGTAGATCTCGCATTCTGAAAACAATCTAATTGAGATTCTCTTTCATTTTTCTCTTGGGCTGCTTACCCAGGAGAATATTCTGGTGTGTATGCTTTTAAATACTTTAATATACTGCTTTTTAAGCTAGGTGTTCTTGGCTGCTGTTCTCATTTAATGCTTTCTCATCTTTTTTTTTCCTGCTCAGCTATTTTTTTGTGCCTTGCATATATTTTCAGCTTTTATGCGTATCTCCCCTGTGTGCTTGAGAGTATAGCAAACATAGTCATTATATAAACTTTTAAAAACAAATCTAAACTTTATTTCTTCTGATTCTATAGCTTTATTGAAAAGTTAACATTAGTGTTTAAAGCAAATATTTCAACGTGTCTTGCCAAAATTTATTTTGGAATTGGAATATGGAAACTTTTTTAGTGCTTATTTATTTTCAGTTTTGGAAAACACCTAAATAGATAATTAAATAAGCACAATTTCTGATATTTAATTCTTTATGGCAGAAGTATTCTGGTCTTTGAGAATATTTCAGATAATTATAATACAGACAAAATATGAGTCCATATCTGAGCATTGAATTTTTAGCATTCCTATTGAAATATTTGAAGTCATGTTAATTAATACCTTTTTTAAAATAAGGGGATATATTAACTCTTTTACGTAGTTTTCTTTAGAAATATTTTCTTCCTGTTTACCTAGGTTATGAATATTACTTATTCCATTATATGTGATTTTCCAACATTAGCTTAGGGTTAAATGAACATTGAGTCTTGGTTTTGTTTTTCTTTGCTTTTTTTGTTTGTTTTTGAAACTTTTTGAAATATATTTCCTAGTGTGTTCTTTTATTTCTTCTGTTTCTTATGAGTAATAAGTTAAAGAGCTTTCTTCTCCCTAAAGATCACTACATTGGATCTTACATTGAATGCTCTACCTGCCTACCTCACAGTGCTCATTAAATTGGTAAACACAATTCTATAAAGTGACAGCTGAACAATATCATTTCAGATGTGACACTTTGAAGGGAACTTATGTTATTGATCTGAGGTTTTCAATCTCATTATATTCAATTTTACAATGCAAAAGAATTGGTAAAGCATTTTTTTAGGTATAAGTTATCTGAACATCCTTATGAATGAAGGAAATCCTTGTAATATCTGTCTTATGCACATCATTTTGCATTTAAATCATAGCATTGTGATTCCAGGTGTTTTTCATATCATGCATAAAACTTTACAGATTAACGACCTATTTTCATGCTGTTTCTCACAGAAAACATTTCTTGTTCTTTGTTTTTGCTTTACATGGAATGCATGGGCTTTAAGACCATAATTTCTTTGGTAAGGTTTCATCTGCATTGGGGTTTCGTCTTTCTCTGTCCTTGTTTCTGCCTGTTCTCTATGAATAAGGCCTACTTTTTAGGGAAAAGCCTAAAATACCAGTCTGTGATTGGAAATGATTTCTGGTCCATATTAATGCTGTTCCTTTTTCCCCCCCAGATGCTGTTACATTTTAGAATATTTGGCAGAAAAGTCTTGATCCTTTTGAAATACTCTGAGAAAATATAGACTAATGGTTATAAAGAATTGGCTAACAAAATCTTTAGCTTAGTTTTATGATGGAAAATTATAATTTTATAATCCACTCAAGTAGATAGATCATGGAATTATAGACAAAGTCAGATTACTGAAGGAGATACAATATTTATAAAATAACATTTGCAACTATAGCTTATAAGCTCATATAATTTTTAATAAATTTATTTTCAAAGTTTTTATCCTTTTTCCTTTGCTAGGAATGGGTCGTGAAGTTGAGAATCTTATATTAGAAAATACACAACTGTTGGAAACCAAGTAAGTATATACAGAAATATTAGCAATGAAGAAAACATACTGAATTTTCTTCTTAGCCAAGTCAGTGACATTTCTTCAACACAGCACTAATGCTGTCTTACTACCCCATCTTATTCCCCTTCTCTGTGTGTGGCCTTGTGCATGTACACACACACACACACACGGACATGCAAATAGGTCACAGGACCTAATTTTACAGATGAGTAGTTTTATTGCTCAGTTGTTTGCAGGTATTTCCATCTCCTTTCCACTGTACAAGTATTAATATTCTGGATGTATCCTGTGTGTGTTTTGCTCTTTCCCAAGGATGTCAGTCTTACCTCTTCTTTTCCTGGTGTTTCTTTTATTTCTGCGTAAATGTTTTGCTCTATACCCAGCCCATTTCGTTCAAGTTCTCCGCCATAGTTGTAGGTTCTCAGGTGCAGTCAGTGGAGTCCTAGGCCCTCAAACACATTGGAGTCCTGTTTAGTGGGGTAGGTCCTGAGTCATAGGGAAAACTTCAGGGCCCATTGTTAACGTACATCAGAGCAGCTTTGGGCATCTGTGTATATCCAAAACAGAGTGCATCTGTAATGAGGTCATGTGTCCACTGTACCCAAAAATTAGATCTTAGGGGTTTTTTCCTAGTTCAGACATTTTTCTCATTAATTATTAAAGTTAAATATGAGGATTAATTTTACTTTATTGATTAGGTAATATCTTCAGAACTTATTAACAGTAGAACTCTTACGGATGCTATCAGACCGTTGCTTTGTTTCTTTTTACCTTTATCTACAAACAACATCAGGTAGAAAGCCTTCAAAGGATTCAGTTTTTCAGCTTTATGATTGTATATTACTTTAGCCTACAAGAGAATAAGCTGAAAGATGGAAAGAATATTTGTTTGTAATGATGCACTTGAAACATGTGTTTCGTAGAAATGCTTTGAATGTAGTGAAGAACGATTTGATAGCAAAAGTGGATGAACTGACCTGTGAGAAAGACGTGCTGCAAGGGGAGCTGGAGGCTGTGAAGCAAGCCAAGCTGAAGCTGGAGGAAAAGAACAAAGAACTGGAGGAAGAGCTGAGGAAGTAAGCTTTCACCATGCTACTCTAAACCTGTCTTTGCCAGTGGGCCTCCAAGGGTTATAGGGATAACCCTGAGACTGATGCCAGTGGCCCTCTCAAACCAAGAGCGGCCAGGAGCTGCCTGGGAGGCTGACGTGCCCGTCTGATTGCTTCTGTTGTGAGCAAGCCCCGCCATTTACTGAATAGCAGCATTTTTTGTGTCTGTCGTGATGTGAAAAAAGTTAGAAGAACTGTTCAAAATTGCTAATAAGGAAATGAGAAGCCCTCATCATTTTCTTTCACCTAACCTCCTTTCATAGCTCTTTTGTTTTGTTTTTTCTTAGTACAGTGCTATGATAACCTTCCCCTAAATGAAGGCAGCTAAATAAAGATTCTGTTTGGAAACAAGAAAATAATCATTAGTGGTGGTTAAATTTCTTTACCTACTCTTTCATTCTTTTAAAAGAGGAACTCAACTCAAATAACATGTTTGTTTTTTTCCCCGCTAGAGCTCGTGCAGAAGCTGAAGATGCAAGGCAAAAAGCAAAAGATGACGATGATGTAGGTTTACGGTTTTGGACTTACTTTCTTGCTGTATGATATTTTAGTTTTGGGGGGAAGTCTTGTTAATTAAGCTTTGGATATACTATTATAAAGATTTTAAAAAACAAGTCAGTAGACGTGTTCAGTCATGAATAGGATATCCGTGTTCCCACGTGACATGTAAGTGCAGAGCTCTCTAGCGACATGTGATGTGCTCATTTTTCCCCTGTGACTCTGCCCTGACCTGTTCCACATATTCAAGTTCATGGACCAACTGGGACACTTTTTAGTGTTTTTTTTTTTTTTTTCTTGTTGTTTGGCTTCATATTTTGACTTAGAAATATGAAAGCTTAATAATACAAATTGTTTAAAAGCATTAAACATAAAAAGATGAAGTCTAGCATTTAATACTAGGCCACTAACGCATAATGTTGTCAACATATTTGAATACAAAAGAATAAACACAGTGGTACCTCAGTACTCAATTAATTCGTTCTGAACCCGTGACGAGCACCGAACGATGAAGCATTTTCTCTTTTGGGGCGGCATTGTGACTCATAAAACTCCTAGCAAGTGCCATGAGTCCCTAGCAAGCACTGAGTGCTGAAATGCATTGAGTTCAGGGTTTGATGAGTTCTGATGCTGACGAGTACCAAGGTATGACTGTATGAGCTAATTGCCAATGTTATTAGCATACCAGCTGTTCTGTTGGTTGCTAGGTTATCTTTCTTATAACAGGTGTTTGCTACTTAAGTATCAGTCTTGAGCTATATGGGTGTCCTGGGCACAATGATTTTTTAATATAATATTTGATATATTAAAATATATATGTAATATAATAAGTTATGAATAGTTGCATTATAATAAATTAACATTATAAATCTACTACCCAACTGGAGAAATAGGACATTTTCAAACTTTGGAGCTACTCTGTGCTTCTCCCCTCAAGAGGAATCTACTAATCCTGTGTTTATCATTTTCTCACCTTAAATAAAAATAATTTTATCATATCACATACATGTATGCATACAAAGTATGGTTTAATTTTCATTGTTTCTGCATTTTATATGGTATTTAGTCTGGGAGACTTGTGTCTTTTACTCCGTTATGTCTTTGATATTCACCTGTATTGTAGTTAGTACCGGTCATTCATGTTCACTGCTTTATAATATCCCATTATATGAATATATTACAGTTTATGTGTCATTTCCTGCTAATAAATGTTTAGGTTGTTTTCAGCTTCTTAGTCCCACAAACAATGATGTCTATAAGAACATTCCAATACAAGTCTCCTGGTTTTTCCCATGTTATTACCTAGTTCTGGGATTTCTGTATTGCGAACTCCTTTAATTATTTGTTGTTTGGCTTTTATTTAAAGGAGAGGCTAAGTTCTGTGGCAGGACAAAGGATGAGAATGCTCTCAGCCTCATTCTTACCGTCCCAAGTCTTTCTGCTTCGATCCAAAATGTGCCAACTTCACTGAGCAAAACAAAAGCTTTACAGTTAATCTAACTGTAGATTCCTCCTTTAGAAATCAGCACTAAAAGGAAGTTGACCTGAGCATACCTTTTTGGGGTCTTACCATACTCTCGTTCCTCATTCTTCCTAACAAGAATTCTGTTTAATACCATTGTCTTTATCTTGTATTTCTGTTGGTGTTTTAGTGACTCCTAGAGTTGGGTACCTTAGTAACCAGCCAGTAAGCTTATGCTTTACAGTGGCCTCAGGGGCATATGGATTGATAGTTTGAGATAAATGAACTCCTTTTAAAACTAACACATAACTAATTTATGAATGACTAGCATTTGTTATAGAACATAAATTTAAAATAATATTGTTAGAGCAACATTTCCAGGTGAGCATATTAAATATATTTAGATAACAGTTAATTTTTGGTTTTAGTTCAGAATCTGCACTGCTATTTGTATTTCCTTTATGTTCGAATATCTGTATTTATATTCAGAAATTAAATTGTCTACCTCTTTTTGGTTGTAATTATTTAAATCTCTATTGATTTTATTTTTATAAGGTCATTTTTAAGTGATTCACTAGATTAGAATGTAAGGAATGTTTCAAACCTTGAAGACTTTGCTTAATTCTGAGATAACACCAAAACAGATACGGGCTCCCAGAGTGAGTTGTAGTCTTCTTTTCATTATAGAGTGATATTCCCACAGCCCAGAGGAAGCGGTTTACTAGAGTAGAAATGGCCCGCGTTCTAATGGAGAGAAACCAGTATAAAGAGAGATTGATGGAGCTTCAGGAAGCTGTTCGATGGACAGAGATGATTCGGTTTGTATGAGAAGTACCTCTGGTGTTTTTCTAGTATTGTTTCCTAGTTTTCAATATTTCTTCATTCAGAATTGGAGCCCTGCCTTTGGGATCCAAGCCCCTTGCTCTGTTACTAGGAGAAACTTTCTAAATTAACACTTGGAATTGCTAACAGAATTGTGATCAAAGTGTGTACTTTTTGGGCCAGTAAAGGGCTGTTGGAGAATGTTCCCACAACCTCTAAAATACAATTGCTACTACGTAGGAATGGTGTTCATTTTTCAGAAGAATATGGAAATTGATATTACTTTTGCAATAATGTCAGGAAAATATAAGAATTTCATGTGCCACATAGGGAACAATCATTTTTACTCAGTGTCTTCCTGTAAAATGCTCTTGCTGGCTTTTCCCTCCCTTTTGACTATTCATGCAAGATGCCACTTCCATTGAGATCTTTGTCAGATCTGAAGTCTCACCTCTAAAGCTGCCTCTGAGGGTCAGACTCTCAGTAACAGTAAGCCTTTAATTTAGGAAGAGCTCATGAAAAGTGTGTAAATTAGTTAACCCCCACTTTGCCCGTGTTTTTGAGTTTGGACTGTCACATCAGATTGACCAGTAATAGTACACACATAACAAATGCATAGTTTATGAACATATTTTCTGACCTCCAACATTTACTTCCTTATGATTACATTAATTTAGCAGTTTATATATCCTTTTCCAATGTTATACTAGAATTCTATAGAATATGTACAGTTTCCTGAAAGTATAGTTGTGTTTATCTACCAAGAAGGAAGGAGATTAGTATTCTGATCTATCTTTATTGTATATTAAAAAAAAAAACAACCTAATGTCCTAAGAAATGTGTTCTTAATTCCAGCATTTAATGAACAGTAAATAGATAATGAATAAATAGTTTAAAAACTGAGGTATATAGGTAGGCTCCACTTTTTATTGCTATTTTTAATTCTAGCATCCAAATGGTAGTCAATAAGTGAAAATAAATGTTAGCTTACTTTTCACTTTTCCCATTGAATTAAAAGATGTTTTAATTGAGTCTTTTAAAAAAAAAAGTGAAAGGGGGGCTCTCATGGTGATGGCAGAACCCCTACCATCTCACTGAATCGCCATGTGTTTTGATGTTTTGTGGAATTACCTATCAATCTAGTTTATCCCCTTTTCTGTTCCTTTTTTCAGTGATGAGAAAGCTTTAGTCCTGTGAAAAATGACGCAAACAGTAAAATTATAAGCTACTTTGTGACAGCTGGGAGTATAGACAAAACAGACCTTTATGTAAAAACAGGGATTTACAAGGCAGTCTGTTGATAAAAAGGAGAGAGGTAGAGGTTCTGTCTTCAATAAAAAAATTTTAAATAGGAACATTCAGGCATATTGGCTATCTGTCCAGCACACGTACCAGGTTTATCTCTATCAGTAGGTTGAGCTCTTTGAGGGAGAGGTGGTAATTTAGTTGTAGCCTTAGCAGACTGACTGGCATGATAGGTCAAAGTAACTACTTAGTGAATTTAATTGTTGACTTTACTTGTATCCCATGAACTTCTTTGGTCCTTAGTTCTCAGAAAACTAGAACACCACTGATAAGACATTTTCTTTCTTTCTTTTTTTAATGTAGAGCATCAAGAGAAAATCCAGCCATGCAGGAAAAAAAAAGGTCAAGCATCTGGCAGTTGTAAGTATCTTGAAACACATGAAGACGTTAGATAGCACTTTCAGACAAAATTACAGTCAAAATTTATTTTCAAGAATGATTTGGTGCCTCTTCCCTTCCTTAGTTCCCTTCCTCCCTTCTTCCTTTTCTTAAATTTGGGACATATAGCTAAACTGAACCTTTTCTTTTTTGATACATAGTGTGCCAACTCGGTAAGGCTGTTCTTGAGGACAAAAATAATGCTGTCGTAAGCTGCATCATTTTGGGTTATGCATTTGATGGATACCTCTAATAAATTAAATAAAATAATGGGGAATTATTCATAGAGTTGATAATTACCTGGGTCCCCATTACTAAGGACTTACTCACTGATTGTGTGATTGTAAGGAACTTCACAAAGCAAAGATGAGAAATTTAGAGGTTATGGGGTTTGAGTAGTGTGTGTATGTCAGTTTTGGACTTGAATTCTGTTCGTGCCAGAAGTACTATGTATTTAGTGTGCTTAATACTTACCTCCCCTTTTTGGTGAATCTGCTATTTAATAAAAGTATTGATTTTTTTTTTGAGTGAATGTGAAAATAGTTATTTAAATTTAGTTTAATAAGTGTGTAAGATATGTGTTCCTGTACTTTATTGTGACTATTTTTAGAACTGGTGTCTTAGGCTCCTGTTCAAACCATGCAGCCATAGTCTTGCTGTTTAACACTACTCTTAACACGATGCCAAGTAGGAGTTAGCTAAAGGGACAACCTTAATTTATTTTTTCGTTACAAGACGTTCCGGTACTTCAGAGCTTCTTCCTTTCGTTATGGGAATTGCTAATTAAAGAACTGGGATCCTATGCTAAGCAGTGGTTTCTCTTTCCTGAATGGCTGCATTTGGCTGTATTTGGCTGTGAGTTACTGCTAGGGCTGCTCTGTGTGACTATGAAAAAAAATTTTTTGGCCAGTTTCTAACTCAATTGCCTTGTAAAAAAGCACTTTGGAATTTGTGGAAAATTATGGATTGTTCTTTACAGCATGTGTAATACATATATAGACACATACACTCACTTTTTTCTTTTTAGTTTTAGCCGACTTTTCAGCTCCTCAAGTAATACTACCAAGAAACCTGAACCACCTGTTAATCTGAAGTATAATGCACCCACCTCTCATGTTACTCCTTCTGTCAAGAAAAGAAGCAGCACCTTATCTCAGCTCCCAGGGGATAAGTCCAAAGCCTTTGACTTCCTGAGTGAGGAGTAAGTATTTTCCAAACTAGTTGTTATGCCTTCAGTAAGTTAGCAGTTCACAATGTCCTTGCCACTTAGCAGATCAACTATAAGTGTTAATCTATACATAAACTATTTCTATAACTTGGCTATCTTTAAGAAAATTACTTGTAGTCATTACCTCCTACAAAAATTTCATTTGTTTTCATAAAGAGAAGGAACTTTCTATTTTTTTTAATGTTCCCTTTGTGCTGATATTGGTAAATATTAATAGAAATATTAAGGGCTTACATAAACCTTTATCCTAAATCTTTGAACATTTCCTTTGGTGTCAGAAGGACTTGTTTTTTTTTTATCCTGACTCTGCTTCTCATTAGGTACATGAACCTCTCAGAGCCCCAGTTTTTTGCCAGGGGAATGAGTATAATAACCTATCTCAGAGGTGTTAGGATTAAATTATATAGTGTCTGTAAAGTGTCTGACACAGGGGTAGATTTGTTAACTGTCAGATACACAGCAAATCATCTCACAAAAAATTTAAATGGCCCAGAGAAATACAAATTATTTTCATAGTATTTTGTTTCACATCTCTAAAGCTTAGCAAATCAGTTTGCGTATTTGTCTTCTGAAACAAGTTAATGAGATCCAAGAGTTAACTAGTATTACCTTCCTAAGAAGATTTATTGGTCTTATTTAGTGGTCTTTAGTTACTTCTAGCACATTTCCTGGCATTAGAATATTCTCAATATATATTTTTTCAAATGAACAAAAAGAAAAAAGAAAAAAAGGAGGAAGCAAAAATACTTAAGAATTTTTCCCTTTCATATAGCCAGAATCTGAAACCTGATAGAAATTTGATGGCTGATTCAATATAATACGCTGCTTACTAACCTGCTAAAACTTAGACACTGTATTCACTGCATAACTTTAAGAACAGGTTTGGTATAACACTTTAAGGAGGAATCTTAGTGTAAAGTAAACTAAGCTGAAATCATGTAATTTTTCTTATTTTTGCTGTTTGAGGGGGAGAGCTACTGTTATATTCACTTAATTTAAAAAGGAAATTTCTTTTCCTTTTAGAACTGAAGCTAGTTTAGCCTCACGCAGAGAACAAAAGAGAGAACAGTATCGTCAGGTAAAGGCACATGTTCAGAAGGAAGACGGTAGAGTGCAGGCTTTTGGCTGGAGCCTGCCTCAAAAGTACAAACAGGTAATGTGTGAACCTGGTAAGAGCATCTAGTGGGAAATGCAGAGTAATGGGAGTATGGCTGGGCATGAAGGAATTGCAAATCCTACTCCAAACCCACTCATTTCAAGCTAAGAGGAGTTGTCACCCACTTAGAGAAGTGTTGATGATAGTGGGTGTCAGGCTGTTTTCCACAGCCCTGGAGCCCAGAGAAATGCCTGAGTCTGGAAGGGGCGGGGGGGGGCGGTCAGTGGGAGGTGGCCCAGTGCATGGAACTCGAAGTATCCAGCTTGGATTTAATATTTAAAGATTTCATTTTTTGAAGGAAAGAAAAAAAGCACCTATTGTTTAAAAGTTTTAAGAAGCCATTGACGTGGAACCTTTCAAAATGTTGACTTAATACTGAGTTTAGGTCTTCAGGAACTTTACCTGTCTATTCCACATTCTCTTACCACCAAAGACTCAGCAACACATTCATTAATATCCTCTCTCCCTGTCCCCATCCTTCCCGCCAACCCCCCTCACACACATACACCTTCCCACTGCTACTCCCACACATGTGAATTAGTCTTCTGAGATCCCATAGCATCTTACTTATTTTCTCTAATTGCTTTTTGACTTTCTAATTTTTCTAATTAAGAATGACAAAATTAACTTGAACTTGATTTCAAAGAGAAAAAAACGCAACAACAGTGCTTGCCCATATCTCAGTGGTTCTGTTAAATTCGCGTTTGATGAGGCTGACCCATGTGTCTTTCTCTCCCTCTTCAATTATTAGGTAACCAATGGTCAAGGGGAAAATAAAATGAAAAACTTACCTGTGCCTGTCTATCTCAGACCTCTAGATGAAAAAGATGCATCAATGAAGGTAAATTTATTTTGAAGTTCAAGGAGCTACTTCCTAAAATCTGGGTGGATGTTTTTTGTAAACCAAAAATATTAAATTCTACTTTTATTGATTTGAATATTTATTTTGTAGTTTTAGGCTGGATGCTTTAAATATTAAAGACCTATATTTATAATCATTAGACTGTTAAAGAAAATGTGAAAAATTCAAAACACTTTCAGAGAGAAAGTAAGTTAATACTTTTTTTCCTTAACCCCAAAAGCTATGGTGTGCTGTTGGAGTCAATTTATCTGGTGGGAAGACCAGAGATGGTGGTTCTGTTGTAGGAGCAAGTGTATTTTACAAGGATGTTGCTGGTTTGGATACAGAAGGCAGTAAACAGCGGAGTGCATCTCAGAGTAGTTTAGACAAGCTAGATCAGGAACTTAAGGTAAGTGTATGCAAGAACACTTGACCTCCTGGTGTCTGGGACTATTACTTTAGCTCTTTGGTCCACAAGTGACTTCTGGGTTCAACTTCTAATTGGGATTATTATGCCCCTGCTTACTCCTCACCCTTTTCCTCTTTTAAAGACCAGTTTTATTGAGGTATATTTTACATAAAACAAATTTCATACGTGAAATGTGTACAGTTAAAAGTTTTGACTAATATGTGCGCCTAGGTAACAGCTGTCACAATCAAGATATAGAACATTTATGTCACTGATCTTCTTTAACTGCTAGTTTTTAGTCTTCTGATTAATGTTGTATTTTTGGACTTCTAAATAATCTGGAAATAAACTTAGTATTGCCCTTGACTATAATAGCACAGCTTTATGACTACTTGCACTTAGATTATTTTAAACATTCCTTTTCTTCACTTTGCCTAGGAACAGCAGAAGGAATTAAAAAATCAAGAAGAATTATCCAGTCTAGTCTGGATCTGTACCAGCACTCATTCAGCTACAAAAGTTATCATTATTGATGCTGTTCAACCAGGCAACATCCTAGACAGTTTCACTGTTTGCAATTCTCATGTTCTGTGTATAGCAAGTGTACCCGGTAAGAGTGCCCTTCTCTTCCCGCCATCAGCACCTCCTTTGCAGGACCTAATGTGGTTACAGGAGATACAGTTATGCACTACTTCATAGAGTTTATGTTCTCATGCATGGAAGTTTATGTTCTAGTTGAGGGAGATCAAAGATAAACTGGAAACAAATAACTAAACCTGATACTTTCAGATATTGTGAAGAAAATGAAATAGTGGTAATATTAGCTTACTGGGAGTCAGAGCACAAGAAGTTATTTAGAGCAATTAGTAAGGGAAGACTTTCTCAGGTTTTGAATTAAATCTTTTGTGATGTTAAAACATTGGTGTAAAAGTAAAGAGGTTTGTGATATATCCACCCAGTGGAATATTACATAAAAAGGAATAAAATTCTGATACGTGCTACAACATGGATGAACCTTAGAAACATTATGCTCAAGTAAAATAACTCAGACACAAAAGGACAAATATTGTATGATTCCACTTATATGAGTTATCTAGACTAGGTAAATTCATAAAGATGGAAGTAGATAGAGATCACCAGGGGCGGGCAGGGGTGGGGTCAGGTAACAGAACTATTGTTTAATTGGTACAGATTTTCTGTTTGGGGTGATGGGAAAGTTTTAGACATAGATGAGATATTTTTGATGGCTGTACAGCATTGTAAATGCCACTGAATTGTACACTTAAAAATGGTTAAAGTGTCAAAGTTTGTTTTCTTTTTATATTTTATTTAAAATATTTTATTTATTTTTAAAGAGGGAGAAGGGAGGGAGAAAGGGAGAGAAACATCAATGTGTGGTTGCCTCTCATGCGCCCCCTACAGGGGACCTGGCCCACAACTCAGGCATGTGCCCTGACTGGGAGTTCAACCAGTGACCTTTGGTTCTCAGACCGGCACTCAACCCACTGAGCCACACCAGCCAAGACAAATGTTATGTTTATATGTATATTTGTCCACAATAAAAATTTAATGGGACAAGAATAAAAACAGTTTTCTAAATTTTAAAAAAACTGAAGAGGTTTATCTTTACATTGTAAGTGCTTAGTTTTTAAATGGCTTACTAATGCACTGCGTACATTTAGGGTGATTAATTTCTAATAGTGGTGGTCAGAAGTCCATAACAGCAAAATTTTTTTTCTTGTCAGATTTAACAGATTTCATTGGTTTTAACCTTATTAGGTGGCTGCCTAGGAGCTCATATTAAGAACAGAAGCATTATTTCTAACATTTTCACATTTGCTTATGCTTATTTTATTTTAAAGATTTTATTCTTTAGGGAGGGAAAGGGAGAGAGAAAGAGAGGGAGAGAAACTTCGGTGTTTAGCTGTCTCTCATGCACCCCCTATTGGGGACCCAGGCGTGTGCCCTGACTGGGAATCAAACTGGCAACCCTTCACTTTGCAGACCAGCGCTCAATCCACTGAGCCACACCAGCCTGAGCAGTTTATGCTTATTTTAACAGAAATATTATCTTAATTTTTTAAAGCTACTTTTCCCCTTTTGTGAAGTGGGGGTTTTTTGTTTGTTTTGTTTTGTTATTTTAATGCTCACCTGAGGACATATTTTTCCATTGCTTTGAGAAAGAGAGAGACAGACAGACAGACAGGCAGGCCGGCAGGCATTGATTGGCAACCCTTCTTGTATGCACCCTGACCCGGGTTGAGCTTGCAGGCTGGGCATGTGTCTTAAATGGAAATCAAACCTGCAACCTTTTGGTCTATGGAACGATGCTCCAACCAACTCCAGTGAGCCACACCGGATAGGGTCCATTTTGTGAAGGTTTAAGAAAAATTTAAAGCTACCATCTTGGCAATATATTCGAATAACTATTTGTTTTACCTGTACACTCTTATTTCAAACCTGTAGCTGCTTTTATGGAGAAAACGCTATTGTATGAGTTTACTGAGCATTTAAAGAAGGTTTATCTTGTTTTTTTGTTTGTTTGTTTGTTTTGTTCTTTTAGGAGCACGAGAAACAGACTACCCTGCAGGAGAAGAGCTTTCAGAATCTGGACAGGTGGACAAAGCATCTTTATGTGGAAGCATGACAAGCAATAGCTCAGCAGAGACAGACAGCCTGTTGGGAGGCATCACAGTGGTTGGTTGTTCCACGGAAGGCGTGACAGCAGCTGCCACTTCCCCTAGTACCAATGGTGCTTCTCCAGTGACAGAAAAACCACCAGGTATAGCTATCCTGCCTACACACCACCTTTATGGAGACTGAGCCTATTCCAGGTGCCTCATTATGGACTTAATTTAGGTCTTAAACTAACAAGAATGAAATAACCTAAAGAAGATGCTGTAATGACTGTTAAATGAAGTCATGAATTCTCAATTTCATGATACAGTGCAGAGGAGGAGAGGGTCATTGTAGTGGAATTCTGCTTGAGGAAATTATTGGGAGAAAAGTTCAAACTCAGAATGATAAGCATGCTTTATTTATTTATTTTTTTAGAAAAGGAAGCAGAAAGTAATGAGATTGATGAAAATGTTCCAACAGCCGAAGAAGCAACTGAAGCCACAGAAGGCAATGCAGGGTCAGCTGAAGACACCGTGGACATCTCCCAAACTGGCGTGTACACAGAGCACGTCTTTACAGATCCTCTGGGAGTTCAGATCCCAGAAGACCTCTCACCAGTGTATCAGTCAAGGTATACAAATTGGTCAACAACTTAGGGAACCAGATAAGGGCACACACAAAAGGAACCAAAATAACCTCAAACAATGAAAATATTCCCGCTAATTGGCATTGTTGTGGCAGACGTAGATGTTACTACTTATTCCTACTATGTGTTCATTTATTCCTCCTCCTTCGTCCTCTCTGGATATTTTTTTCTTCCCAGTAATTCTTTTCCTTCCAACTTCAGAAAAAAGTCTTGTCTATAAAATATATTAGTCAAAATCTTCCTGGTCATTTTCTCTTCTAGTACGAATTTTCTTTTTTGAATTGTTATACTCACTGTCTTCTCTTCCATTAATAACTCTTGCTGTTTTAATCTCCACCCCTGCTCTCAGTGCCGCCCTAGTTAGCGGTGCAATTGGCCATTGTGTCAATTTCCCGCCTGGACTCAAATGACCTTTCTGAATTTAGTTTTCTGAATTTAAACTTTTTATTAGAAAACAGTTTGTTTTAGATTCTTCCTTTTAAAGGTTGCCTAATTGAGGCCCATTTATTGAATTCTTTAATTTTCTTTTTTGCCTACTCTAAGTCTTAATAGAAAGCTGATAGGGGTATGTCTAAACTGGATCCCTTTTTTTAAAGATTTTATTTATTTATATTTAGAGAAGGGAAGGGAGGGAGAAAGAGAGGGAGATAAACATGGATGTGAGAGAGAAAGATCTATCAGTTACCTCTCTCAAACACCCCAGCCGGGGACCAAACCCGCAACACAGGCATGTGCCTGACCCCAGATTGAAGCAGCAGCCTTTCCTTTGCGGGATGACACCCAACCAAACCACACCAATCAGGGCTAAACTGGATTCTTTTTACAATTTATTATTTTTCCTTTTATTGTATAGAACAGCAAAGTGTCTTAATAATTGTTATTATAAGAGTAAAGTCATCTTTTCAGAATTCCGTTTACTTGTCTGTGTTGAACTTAATAACCCAGTTATATTTCTTTATTATATATGACAAGCTAAAAAAAGATGGGGAGTGAATGCAAGCATATTTCAGCATATTAGTTTATTTTAGTTAATTCTTTATATTTAACCCTCTTTTCTGTAAGTGTGTAGTTTTAAAACAAACATCCCTTCCTTTTTTTCTCCTTTAGGAAGAAACTCAAAAATTCAAAATGGCTGTAAGAGAGAGCCATCATAATAGTCTACATATTAACTGCTGTATTTCATTAGTATTTCTTAACTCCCTTATTTGCAACTTGGTCCTCCTAGTATGTTAATGTTCTTCTGGTACAATTGTTGATATATTTAATGTAAGCATTTAATTTTGGCTTTTCTGGAATTTTAGTGTGTGACCTTTTTTCTTAAACTGTAAATTAAAATACAGAAATGACCAATTCCTGAAAAGTAAGCATACTCAGATTTTTTTCCTATTATCCTACCTTTTCCAGTAATGACTCAGACGTGTATAAAGATCAAACATCAGTATTGCCAAATGAACAAGACCTGGCGAGAGAAGAAGCCCAGAAAATGAGTAGCCTTTTACCCACTATGTGGCTTGGGGCTCAGAATGGCTGGTAGGTGCCAACTTTTTTAATATTGGAGTATCTTTTGTCTTTTTTACCTTTACTATTGAAATCAGAAGATAAGTAAAATGTGGTATACATATAAATATAAACCAAAAGTACACATTAAAGCAAAGAATTTTATATACACACCAATTTTAAGGTTATATTGCAGTTGCCTCATAAACTGGACTTGCATTGGTTCTGAACGGTAAACCATGTGTTCCTCTGTCACAGTGCTCCTTTTATATAATATTCTTGGAAGAAGAGGTTAATAAAATTTTAAAATCTGGGTGACCCAGAAATAGAAAATCCTGAATAGTATAGAGACAGAGAATTATTGATACATATATAGAAGGCTTATATAGGCTAGAGTGTGTTCAGGAAATACTGAGGAATATGTATTTGGCTGCAGGAAGAGCCAAATCCAAATGTTAACTTTTCAGGAGAGTTACTAGGAAAACCAGAACAGCTCATTCTGAAAGCTTAGGAAGTGATCATGAACATTATTACATGGTTTGTTCACTTTCTAATAGTGTGTAAGTCTTATAATACTGTACATTTCCAAAAGGCAAGCAAGGTCACTATGGTATCTTTTCCATAGGGGTCTAATACTATATAATGAAGGATCAGGAAACTTTTTCCATGAAGGGCCAGATAAGAAGCATGTTAGGTTTGCGGCCGTATGCTCTCTGTAGCAACTTCTCAGTATGTTGTTGCGGTGCAGAAGCAGCCATTGACTTGACAATATGTAGGTGGGTTAGTGGGCCGTGTTCCAATAAAACTTTATTTATGGGTACAGATAGGGGTCTGTGTCCATACAGATCTCATGTGTCGTGAAACACTTTGGTATTTTTCCAACCATGGAAAAACCATTATTTTTAGCTTGCAGACTATCCTAAGGTGGGTGACGGGCTGGGTGTGTCCTGCAGGCCATCGTTTGCCTCTGTCTGACGTAAATCACTTGTTGTCACAGAGCCGTAATGCAGTCCCAGTAGAAAAGTAAGATAATTTTTAAAAAAGGATTTTAGCCAAGGATCTGAAGTGTGGGTAACATGAAACTAACTGACCCTGCATTATTCTAGTTCTGGCTTTTTGTTCTTCATATGTTTCTGTTTGCTTAAGCAGCTTATTTCTCTGCCTTAGACCTGCCTGCACTCTCATTATTTTTTTTCCTAAAATGTATGTTACTCCTTCCTTCTGAAGGAACTTTCTGGTCATTATTAGAAATAAGCAATGGCTTGATGTTCTCTATGCCTTACCAGTCTTGATTTTGTTCTTGCAGTTTGTATGTCCATTCATCTGTAGCCCAGTGGAGGAAATGTCTCCATTCTATTAAGCTTAAAGATTCGATTCTCAGTATTGTGTAAGTTTTATTTTAGAAATTCTTTCTTTAAAAAATACGTTTTGGTATAAACTAGATTTTAAGACTGTTAAAGCTAACATGTACTTCATGACTAAATCAGTATCCAGGTTTTGTTTTGTTTTTTAATCTTCTTTATAGAATTAGAGAAGTTGAGTAAGATTGAAACTCTTAACTAGAAAGTAGAACAGAAAAACTTGCCAGGTTGATACCTCACCATACCGTGAGTTCTTTAGCGTTCTAGGGGAGAAAACCAATTAATACCTGTTAATATGTGTGTTTGGAGTATTCTTTATACTCTGTGAATATGATGATTAAGGCATTTACTAGTCCCTTTGCTCTATCAAAAATCAGTTTGTCTTTTTAAGTCACAGAGCTGCCTCTGTCAGTTCCACTCAAGGTGTGCATGTCCGGTCTGTGGACCTTGTGTCGACAGTCTGTGATGAGAGGAGGAGTTTGTGCCAGATAGTGAACACCTGAGTCACCACACATGCTATTTATTTAGTTCAGCTGACATTTTTATAGCACGACTTTCTCAGTGAGGAAAAGAGCGTGTTCATTTGGGTTCCGACTCAAGCTCCTGACCTCTCGTGCACTGGCCCTCTGAGAGCCCCTGAGCTAGGTCTGTGTCACGCAGCCCCGCCTGTCTTCCTGAATGGAGAGTTCTGAAATCCTCTTTCCTGTCTGCAGACATGTGAAAGGAATTGTGTTAGTGGCTCTGGCTGATGGCACCCTTGCAATCTTTCACAGAGGAGTTGGTGAGTTGTTATGAATATGTAACATGTGCACTAGTTTGTTGCTTTGCAAAAGCATTTTCAAGCAGATTGGTTTCTTATGTTTTATTTTTATTTTTGTAAAGCAGCTTTTTTGTAAAGATTTTATTTATTTACTTTTGGAGAGAAGGGGAGAGAGAAAGAAGGGGAGAGAGAAAGAAAGGGAGAAAGAAACATCAGGGGGAAGAAAGGGAGAGAAACATCAGTGCGCTAGAGATATGTGATCTGTTGCCTCTTGCAAACCCCCAACTGGGGACCTGGCCTGCAACTCAGGCATGTGCCATGACTAGGAATCAAACCAGCGACTTTTCTGTTCGCAGGCCAGTGCTCAATCCAGTGAGCCACACCAGCCAGGGCTGGTTTCTTATGTGTTAAAGAAATGATGCTTAAAAGGAGATGCTTAAAAGGAGAAAGAACAAAGGTTTAAACTGAATGCTAACAGTGTATGACAGCAATAAATGAGCGAGTGCCTGCCTGGAGGTATACATTAATAATAGTAAACCTCAGTGAAAATAAGTTTACCACACTGAGCAAGCAGTTTAGCATTTCACGATCTTCTTAGATAATGTGAAACAGAGGAACTGGCTTTTCATTCATATACTTAATCAATTGGGACATACTTAGTGAGAGGATATGTTTTCTTTTGTCAGTATTTAAGAAGTAATTTGCATCCACCTACATTTGGTTAAGTATTTTAAAATAACTTTTAATTCGGATAAGGTTTAATCATTTTTATATCATGTTGTTTATATTCTTCCCCCCTCCCATTATTATTTTTTTAAGATTTTATGTATTTATTTTTGGAGAGATGGGGGAAGGGAGGGAGAAAGAGAGGGGGAGAAATATCAAGGTGAGAGAGAAACATCGATCAGTTGACACACACACCCCGACCAGGGGCAGAACCTGCAACTTAGGCATGTGCCTTGACCTGGAATTGAACTGGTGACCCTTCATCTTGCAGAAGGACATCCAACCAACTGAGACATACCGGTCAGGGCTGTTACTTCCCTTTAAAACCAGTGTTTGTGCCGTCTGCAGACTGAGGAGTGGTGGTGTCAGAAAACCTGCCTTGAGTGAGTTAAGTTAGGGAATTGAGCATGTAGCAAGCACTTCATAACTCCTTGGCACATGTGGCAACCCAAAATGATACTTCAGTTCATGTGTGCCAGATGACTAGATCAGGAAAATATTATAAAAATGTAGATGTACCGAATTCAGCATTTAGCAAGGCTTTTTCCCCAGTCTCATATCCTCTTGGGCTTGGGAAAATGTGAGGTAGGATTACTTAAGTAGCTTGATAACTAGCTGACTGGTAGCTAGAGGTTCCTGGTTAATGGCTGTGTAACAAAAGGAGTGCAATGCTTCTGGTAAGCCCTTCATAGATTTGATTATATTCCTCACCAGAACTGAGGAGGAAATTCTGCTGTCGTCCTCATTTTATAGATGAGGAAACGGAGGCAGAGTGTTATGGTCACTCAGCTACTAAGTGGAAGAGCCTAGGGAAGAATAGAATAGTAAATGTTTTGGTAAACTGAATCCAAAATTATATTGACAGAGCAAGACAAGCTAAGTACATTTAATAAAGAAATGTAAAGTTCTGCATTTGGGCTCCAAAGAGCAAGATGGAGGAGACCTGTCTGAAGAGTGAGACTTACTTAAAGGTTGACTATAAACTCAATGTGAGTTCATTAACATCTTAAGTCTCATAGAAATTAGTGTCTAGAATAGGGCTCCACTCTGGTAAATAGTCAACATTAAATTGATATGGACAAAGAAGAGTTAGGATGAAGGATCCATTAACATGTGCCAGGGATGCTTGGTTTTGAAAGAAGAAGATAGGGCAGTAATAAAGAAGTTGGACCAGATTTGTTCAGTGTTTCCATTAGGCAAAACTACAGGCTAATAAATCGGCAATTACATACAAGCAGGCAGACTTTAGCTAGGTATGGGGAATATTTTTCTGACAGAGCCTTCTCAAAATGGAATAGCTGCTTTGTGAAGCAGTGTTTTCTCTCCCTGAAGTTGTTCAAGCAAGGCAAGCTTCCAGTGGTTGGTTCTCATTTGTGTTCTGTCATCACTAAAATTATAGTACACATGATTCCTGAAGTTGCCCTTGATTTCTACCCAAGAAAATATATAAGAATGCAAGTGAGTAAGAGAGATTATCCACAAAATAATTTTAAGCCCTTCTAACTCTTAAAATATTACTATAAACAGATAATTTATAACGGATTTATCACATCGCCACTATTGAGAGTATATGGATCCAGGTACTGGGTGGCAGGTTGGACCAGACGACCTTTGCTGTCTCTTCCTACTCTGCAGTGTATAGAATGAGAGAATTCAGTTTCTGCAAATAAAAGATATATTGAGTACATAGTATTTGGGGGTGTTCCTGAATAAATCTAATTACATTCTGATAGAATCTTACTTCTTTTAAAATTCAGTAAAAGGTAGTATACATTAATTAATAATCTCTTTCTTATTTTAAAGATGGGCAGTGGGATTTGTCAAACTATCATCTGTTAGACCTTGGACGGCCTCACCATTCCATTCGATGCATGACCGTGGTACATGACAAAGTCTGGTGTGGCTATCGGAACAAAATCTATGTGGTTCAGCCAAAGGCCATGAAAATAGAGGTACGTTAATCCATGTTTTCTCTACTTAATGAATTTGCATTTTCTGAAGATCCTAAGACTAATTATTTTCAGCTGCTTTTGAAATTTTTCCGAATCTGTGTGTTTAGGGTACCTCAGTGATACATCGATGACATCTTGCCACTCTTGACTATGAGGGCGGGAAGCGTTTTTTCATTGTTTTTGTTTTTTTTTAAGGAACAGGATTAACACACAAATGTTTAAATATGTGTCTGAATATCCACAGATGCATATATGTATTGTTTGAATATATGATTCCTGACTTGTTTAATTATGTATGGGTCATGAGGAAGGAGAATTCCCAAGTCTCTGCCATCCCATGTAAATTTACACAAATCCATATGTGTGTCAAAGATGGAGATATAAGATTGCAATAAGTATTTATTGTAAAAACAAAAAGCTCTTGGTATTGAATTCTTTTTAAAAAGCTTTGCAACGATATATAAATTCTAATGTTTTTAAAATAAAACTTAAAGCAGGAAAATTTTAAGGTGAAAGGTCTCCTTCTTCTTTCATCCCCCATCTTATCCCCTTACCTAAAAGTCCCAAAGTGAACCATTTAGTGCTTATTTTTCAGATGTTTCTTACATGCTGATATATACATACACACACATACAACAATGCAGGTTCATTTTTGTTTAATTATAAACAGGACCTTACTTCATGTATTTCTCTGCATCCCAACAAAATCTTGAGATCAAATTCAGTCTTTTCGTTGCATACCGACACATAGCACTGATGTGCCAGGATTGCTTCCCGAAGTCGATATCCGTCCTGTACAGTGTTAAAATCCAGCATCCTTTAGTCCTTTGTTCTTCATTTTTGTTTGGCAGTCTGGGATAAAAGCTATTGCGTGCAGAAGAATGATCGTGTTTAGTGAACACTATTTAAGCTCTTTTAATATACATTCTGCCACATTTTTGTGCAGATTAGCACAGTTTTTAAACACAAACTCCTACATAATAAAAGTAACATTGTGATTGAACAATCTTCCCTAGAAATCCTTTGATGCACACCCCAGGAAGGAGAGCCAAGTGCGGCAGCTTGCGTGGGTGGGTGACGGTGTGTGGGTCTCCATTCGCTTGGATTCCACACTCCGTCTCTATCACGCACATACTTACCAACATCTGCAGGATGTGGACATTGAGCCTTATGTAAGCAAAATGTTAGGTAAGTTTCCAAAGCATTTTATTTTTGTCAATTTAAAGAAAATGTTTTATTTTTAAATGTTCTCAAATGCTGGGTAGAACCAATGAGTGAGTTGCCTGAGAGCTCTTATCACCGAAAGTGTCAGACATACTTCATCTACCCTGTGGGGAACTGTCAACTCTGCCTCCAAAAATATCTTAAATCAGTTACTTCTTTATCTCTACTGTCCCCGTAGGCCAGGCCACCATCCTTTCCTGCCCGGATAACCATGAATCCCCCTGTTTCCACTCCAGTCTCTTCTCTGCATAGTAACCAGTGTGCAACATCACCACTTACATAAAACCAGGCACTTTTAGAATGTTACTCTTTACTAGAATATTACTGTCTTTACACAATGTGACATTTTGTGACATGACTAAAGGAATTTAAGTGGCCTGGACCACTCCTCACTCTGTTCTACCCATACAGACCCAAACTCACACTGGTCCAAACTCAGCAAGTTCCTTCCCATTTCAGGGTCCTCACATGTACGGTATCCTCTGCCTGAGAAGTTCTTCTTAGTCCCTGTTTACTTGGCTTTCAGACCATAGCTTACATGTCACAGGTAGAAGACCTTTTCTTATCTCCCTGCTCGATTTAGGTTTTCTCTCTCTCTTTCCTTCTTTCCTTCTAATATTATTTTTATTTATATAGGTTGGGGGGTGGGGGGAGGAAGGGAGAGAAACACCGATTGGTTGCTTCTTGCGTACCTGCAACCAGGGACCAAACCCACAACCCAGACATGAGTCCTGACCAGGAATTGAACTGGCAACCTTTCAGTTTGTGGAATGACGCCCAACCCACTGAGCCACACCAGTCAGGGCTCTAACACTTTTTCTTCCTGGGTTCATCATTGAGGTTGCACTGATTTTATGTGATTCTTGTTTGCTCTCTCTCTCTCTCTCTCCCATGGACCACAAGCCCCACGAAGGGCAGCAGCCGTTTCAGGCTTGTTCCCTGCTGTATCCTTAGCTCCTAATGCAGCGCTTGGTGGCTGTTACGGATGTCATTAATGATTCCTTTATGAAGAGAGACTGAGCTGAATCAGCAGTTCTTAACCCATGTGCCCTCCCTGGAGTCAGGCATATGCACACACAGACCCAGGCTAATTTCAGGGATAAACTTTGACCACAGGTTTAGACTGAATAGAATTAAGACCTCTTCTAATGCTGTGATTGTGTGATCACACTCAGTTTTCACAAGTAGAACTTGAGTGACTAAATGCTCTTTGTCTTAAATGTGTTTATCTGTTTAATGATTTTGCTTAAATCCCAGAAAAATAAGATCAGTTGTAAAAATTCCCTTGAAATAAAAAAATGCATTGATTCTCCCTAAACTACATGTCTACGGTTTCCTAAAATTTCTAAACTGCTATCAAACCTAAACATGTAAACAAGGAAAGAGTGTTGGTTTTGTTAGCAAAGATTGTTTTTGCCTTTGCAAAGAAATTTAAAGCAAACCAGAACTCTTTCAGCTTATAAATTGGAAGGACATTTGATTTCCTGATCTAGTAAACACTGTTTTTATTGAGGGTTTTTTGTTTTGTGTTATGTTTTGATTTTGCAGCTCCCTAATTAAATGCTGTGTCATATTACGTGAGCCACAGTATCTGCCTTCTAACTGATAATGTAATGCCATGCATGTTTAGAATTTTCTTTTCCCATTACCGATAAGTGATAAAGCCAAATGAGAGTTTGCTTTGATGTGTTCCTTCAGGAAACATTCAACTGGTTCTGGTTTTCTCTCTGTTACATTAACCCACTACTCTGAGGGACCTATAATCTAAAACATCGTCTGCTCTAGTTTCTCATTAAAATCTTTTCCCTCTGCTGTACAGGTACTGGAAAACTGGGCTTCTCATTTGTGAGGATCACAGCTCTCATGGTGTCTTGCAATCGTTTGTGGGTGGGGACAGGAAACGGTGTCATTATCTCCATCCCACTGACAGAGAGTAAGTATGCTTTCACCTGACTGTCGCAGTGCAGAGGGGAGAGTGGAGGGAATCTTCATGTCCAGAGTCCAGGCAGAAGGGGATAGTCTTGGTATGGGCAACTCTGGTAATTCAGAAAATCAAGCTGGTGGCAGAGACCTAACTACTGATCCTTTACTCTTTCTATGAAACTTAGGAACTATAGCAAATGACAGTTCCCATATATTAGGACCAGTATTTATAATGAAAAGCTTTTCTGGCTGAGAATCTCTTTTTTTCAGTTCAGAAATAACTCTGCTTTATTACCACAGCATTCAGCAGCCCTACTAGCCTTCATCCTGGTTCATCACGTTCTCCGTGGCAGTTAGTGTAGGCTGTTCCGTTTGGCTTACTCAAGGTTTAGAAAAAGTCGTGGGAGAAGTTTCTCAGTAGTTCAGCAAGCCCTTCCTCATGTGGAAGACAAGTCATCTAGCCTGTATTTGAAAAGAATGTGAACAGAATGTACATTGTATGTTTTTTATGTTGTGTTCCATTATTATTATTTTTGTGAACAAAATATACATTATGTGTTTCTCATATTATGTTCCATTACATTGATCATTCATTAAATAAGTGTTTTTGTGCTGCAAGATTCATGGGCAGGCAGTGGTTTGAAAACAGGTGCCATAAATCCATAAAACGAGTTAATAAAGAAACACCTCAGAACCATCCTACCTTCTTTCGGGGGACTGGAAGACAGGGTGGAGCCTTTAAAGAACCTAACTTCTTAATCACTTACAAGTCTACATGTTTAGACCACTTATATCCTAAGACATCCTAGGATATCCCCAGAGTGTATTTGAATTCTTTATAACAGAGAGTTCCATTTTAGCAACATTATTTTGAATAGGATTTCTTTTAAAAAGGGGGGAAATGTTAGTATTTAGGAAATGCTCACCATTAAGCTCTTATTAAATCACAAAGCAGTGAAATTGCTTTATAATTAAGCAAAACAAAATCACTAAAAGTAAATCAGATTGTACTTTTTGAGCAGAGAAATTCTAGGGAGAGGCTTTGATAAGAACTTTGAGTATTACTTGGTATTATACCAAGTTGGATTTGGTGAGGAGCTTTGGGCACCAAGCTGCCGGATGGAAGACGCTGAGAGTGGTGGCTCATAGTAACTCTTCTCCCTCTGTCGTGCACCCCTCCATGTCCCCTTTCCTCCTCTCTCACTTTAGCTGTAATCCTCCACCAGGGACGTTTACTGGGGCTGAGGGGTAAGTGCAGACCCTGAATCAGCTCTTCCTCCTGGCTTCTCAGAGCCACTGGGAGGCTGTTCTCATATCTCTAGATGCCTCTGAATGTTCCTAAATGTCATCCACTTGCAGTCACTGCATCGCAGCAGGTGTTTTTTTGTTTTGTTTTGTTTTGTTTTGTTTTTGATGTCTGTTACATGGCCACCAAACTACTGCACAGCAGCTTAGTCTATTTATCATCTTTTGTTGCAGCTGAACTTTCTTTCAGACTTTTTTTCCTTACGATAAAAACACGAAACATCTCTTAAAACTCATTAATCTACATTGTTTACTCTTGTTACCAATCATGTTTCTTTCATTTCACTTACTGGCCCAGGAATGGGGATGTTTTGTGAGTCTGGTTATTCTAAAATAATCCAGCAAATCATTGGTCTGGTGTAAATAAAAGTTACTCTGTTGCAGTGGCTGGATCCTTTTAAGCACAGCTTTTTACCTCCCCTGATGGGAGGAGATATTCTTACCACAGGGGAGATAAATCCAATGATAAATTATAAAAATTTTATTTAAAAATAGACCTACTTCCTTTTATACTATAATTGGTTAGTTTTCTAAAATGAGGATTAAAAAACAAAACAGATATACCTAAGAGTCAAATGTTTTCTTTTGTTAACTAAAATGATTTTTAAAAATTAATAGATGTGTTTAAAAAGTAAGCTTAGTTATTGCTAGACTGGCAAAATCCCCTATTCCATTTACTGAGGTACTTAAAAATAACTAGCATGCTATATATCTTTTTTTCCAGCTTTGTCTTGATTTGGCATCGCTGCCTTCATTTTACCTCAACTGGCTGTAGCTTTTAGATAATATCATAAGGATTAACCAGTAACCTCTTGCATCATCACTATTTTCTAGGGAAAATATTTGGTATTTGGTGTTTTTTTGTTGCAGCAAATAAAACCTCAGGAGCACCAGGAAATCGTCCTGGAAGCGTGATTCGCGTATATGGCGATGAAAACAGTGACAAAGTGACTCCAGGGACATTTATACCCTATTGTTCAATGGCACATGCACAGCTTTGCTTCCACGGGCATCGGGATGCTGTGAAGTTCTTTGTGGCAGTCCCAGGTACGTTAGATTATTCCGTTAAGTTGTATATCCATCTTTTGTCCTTTGGTTCTACTACCTACTCAGATGCTAGTAAGTACTGGAATTACAGATGATTTCACTATAATATATGAAAAGTTCTATGATACACGTAAGAATAAAGTGCTATAGGGTGATTTGAATGAAATTGTTTTGGAATCTCTCCTCCACCCCCAAAAAACAAACGTCTTGATTTTTATTTAAGAAACCTGCTCACTTTTGAAAAACAGTGGTATAATTTTGTCACCACAGAATACCAAAAATGGTCTGGGCCTCATAAGGGAGGTTGCTAGAAAGAAGTCCCTATCTTCAAGGCTTTGTGTGGGAAGACGTGGAGACTGTGCCCTGGACCTCTGTCGGTGCTGTAGGCCAGGAGCCTGCGCGTCTGGGCCCTCCGCATCGCTGCCTGCCTGTTACTTTGGACAAGTTGCTTAATCCCTGAGAATCATTTTCTCATTTCCTTAAGTGGACATGGTACCTGCTCTCTGCCCGCCTCATTTGTTGTGAAAATTAATGAAAGTGCTTTGAGAAAGTCAAGTGGGAATCAATCAAGTCAAGTCTAGGTCTATAAAATACCACCTAGATAGGAAAGGTGGTCGTGGCAATGTCCGATGAAAACATCCTGCCTGTTGAGGATACTAAAATGGTATTACTGACCATGGGTAAGCAGGACCCATGTTCTGAATTTTTCCCCCAGAAGAGGCAAGTTAGTTGCCACACCAACTAACTGTTGGGACATAGTAGTTTCTCAGGGTATTAGTTAGAGTTCTTCAGAGAAACAGAACCACCCAGTGGGGGCAGGGGGTGAGAGAGAGAGGAGGGAAGGGGAAGGAGAGGTGGGAGACGGGCAAGGGGAGAGAGTGTGATTTATTTATGATGTTAAGGAATTGGCTCGATTGATTGTGCAGGCTGTCCTGTATCTGGAAGCTGCGGGGCAGGCTGGCAGACCCGGGAAAGTTAGCACCGCATCTCGAGGGCAAAAGCAGTCTGGAGGCCAAGTCCCCTCTTCCTTGGGGAAGCTGTTTTTTTCTCTTAAGATGAACAACTGATTGGATGAGGCCCGCTCACTGTATGGAGAGTTATCTGCTTTACTCAAAGTCCCCTGATTTAAATGTTAATCAGACCTTCACAGCAATATCGAGATTGGAATTTGACCAATTATCTTGGCACCAAAGTGTAGCCAAGTTGACACATAAAATCAGCCATCACGCTTATTTTCCCAAGGCTGTCCCAAAGATTAGATGATTAATGTGCATAGTTCAGGGCTGGCATGTGGTAGCCTTAGCAACATCGTTATGATCTTCCTGAAACACACATCTTGTACGTTTGTATAGTTATTTCCTTAGGATAAATTCCAAATATGGAACTGCTGGTAATAGTGTTTTCTTGCTTCCTTAAAGAAAGAAAAAATATGTCATAGAGTCCCCATCAAGTCTCCTTTATATCCCTCCAGTTCCATTCCCTTCCCTTTTCTTCACCATCTATAACCATGATCCTGCCCATGTTTTTATACTTTTACTACATTTGACATAGTATCTGCATATAGTATTTTTGTGGTTTTGAATTTAAATGTTATGGTACATGTATATTCTTTTGCAGTTTCCTTCTCATTTTTTGAGATTTGTTAAGTTTGTACATAAAAATCTAGTACATTCAATGAACCATTCTAATGTCTGAATAAATGTGCTGCGTTCTTCTATTGATGGACCACTAGGATTTGTTTTCCCTCCCTCCCCACCCACCAGTATTAAAAATAATACTGCAGCAGACCTTCTTGTATACATGGAGAAGACTTTCCTGTTGGGTATAAATCTAGAAGTAGAATTGGCAACATTGTTTGTTGACCAGTTGGCCCTAAGGATTAAACTATTCAGGGTGGCCTTATAATCATACTTCTGTGTTCTTGCTTCTGTGACAGAACTAACTAGTCTGCTAACAATGTTCTCTAGCAGGCCTGATTTCTTCCAGAGTATAATTGAGTAATGTATGAATGAGACACTGTGGGAATAAATCAAACTGTCCTACCCACTTTCAATGTAAATTAATTTTTAAAAGTGTGTCACATTATAGGACTATGTCCTGCTGTGTCCTAGAGGCATGCATAGCCTCTGCAGTTTGACCAAAGGTCAGTAGATTCTTGCAAGAAAAAACAAATACCCTACAGTAAAAGCTTTCCAATAGGGATATCTTTGAGATTATAGTGTGAATAATATTTGAAGGTTTCTCTCTACCATTTCATGTTCAGGGATTCTACCTTAGAACTTAAACTTTAGAGCAAGTGACACATTTACCAATAATTTTTATTTGTCTAATCTAAATTAAAAATAAGACATACTTTTCTTAAATATGAGAGGAAAACCATGGATTTGAAATATAAATTAGGAATACCCAAATTCATAAGGCTCAAGGTGAAGACCTTTCTTAGTCTTTTATACAAATGCACATGTAGCCTCTCAGGGGAGAGACCTGTCCACTGCCTCTGAGATCAGAAGATGTAAAAGTCTGAAACAGGCAACTAAGACCAGCCTGGCCATGCAGATTTCATGTTGGATTTTGGCCCTGTGTCTGCTTTGGTACAAAATGACTTCATTTAGATTTTCAAATTGGGCTCTTAAGACATTTATACATATTTTCTGATCATTACAGAGGCTTCTAGGAGCCCCAGTACTTTGGTTGTATTAGGATATGCTTACCTTTTTGTTCAACTTTCTATAAGTATTCAGAAAAAAAGGAGTCTCCCCACCCCAATATGTGATAAGTAATATTTACTTGTTCCTGTATAAATAGGTCAAGTTGTCAGCCCACAAAGTGGCCCTAGTGGCACAGATCTGACAGGTGACAAAGCAGGGCCATCTGCACAGGAGCCTGGCAACCAGACGCCCTTGAAGTCTATGCTTGTCATCAGTGGAGGAGAGGGCTACATTGACTTCCGAATGGGTGAGTCGGTGGTTCTGGGAGCTCGGTTCCCTCTGTGTTCTGTGGCTTGGATTTTCACCCGTAGGAAACAAGAAACCACTTTAGTAAGTGATTTCTAAGAGGTTTTCTTTGAATTCTTTACTTGGAAAAGGATGTGATATGTCTTTTTTTCCTGCCTTTTCTTCTTTCTTTGTTTTTTTTATTTTGTATGTTTATACTAACATGTATTTGTTTTGTTTGAAGGAGCTTTAGAAAATAGCAGGGTTTGGTCATATATTGAGTTTTATGTCAAGAGCAGATGATGAGGTCAGAAGGCCTTGGGCATTCAACCTCCCAGAACCTCAGTTTTCTCACCTGCAAAATGGAGAGATAAAAATACGTTATAAAGTGTTGTTTGTATCAAAATTGATTTCATTTGTTCATTTTCTCACCTTAATCAACATTCATTTTGTGCCGGTCAGCCTTACTATTGGGGATACAGAAACAAGTTAGATAAAAAGTCTCCCTCCAATAGTTCCAGAACAGCGCAGAGAGAGTGTTAATAAATGGCAGTGTTAGCGGTGCTCTGGCAAAGAAAGACAGGGAAAGAAGTCAGAAGTGATGCCTGAGGTGGCTCAAAACCGAATAACGTTAATCTAAAGAATTGGGTTAGTGTCCTGGTCAGTGTAGCTCAATTGGGTGGTACATCTTCCTGTGGCCAAGAGGTTGTGGGTTCGATTCCTGGTCAGGGCACATGCCTGGGTTGTGGGTTCTATCCCCAGTCTGGGTACATACAGAAGGCAACCCGTTGATGTTTCTCTCTCACTTTGATGTTTCTCCCTTACTCTATCTCTATAAAGCAATGAAAAAATGACCTTGGGTGTGGATTTAAAGAAAAAAGAATTGGGTCAAGGAATGGAGTGGGGATCCTGGGGAGATTGGCACTCCAAGGTAAGAAAATAGCTTGACCAAGGTCTGGAAGTGTGAAGCCACCTTAAGAAAAACTTTTAAAGTAAAAGCATGAAATAAAAGCAAGTACAAATTTGACCAGAGATAAATCCAGAAAGGTAGGGTGTCTGGATTATGGAAAGCCTTTATATACCTAATTAGTAGTTTGTGTGGTTGTCCTTAAAGCAAAGGAAAACTATTGGGGGCCTTTATGGAAGAGCACTATGATTAGATGTGTGTAGAAGATGGATTGGCGATATAAGACTAGGGAGGGGAAATGAGGGGGAAAAGTAGTGACTGAGTAAAGTAGTAAGAGTAGGAACAGGGAATTGGTAACTGCAGCCATGCGCCCCTTAACAACTGCACACGTTGAGAACTGTGTCATTGTGCTGTACTTTTATACAGCTGGCAGCACAGTAGGTTTGTTTGTGCCAGCATCGCCACAAACATGTGGGTAGTTCTTTATGCTAGGACACTGTGATGGCTAAGACACCACTAGGCAATAGGAATTTTTCAGTTCAATTTTCTTATGGGACCACCCTCATATATGTAGTTTGTTGTTGACCAAAATGTCATTATAAGGTACATGACTATAACAGGATGTGGGCAAAGAGGAAGGGATTCACTTACTCAGAGATGACTGTCAGAAGAGGCAGATCTGGAAGGAAGGAAAGAGGGGTTTGGTGTCGGACACACTGACCTTGAAGAGCATGGCAGTTGGGAGGGGTCTGGGTGGAAGATGTGCACCGTGCTCTCGGGTATGAGGGTCTTAGATCTCAGGAAGGAGGGGTTGGGGGCCCGTCGGCCTGCAGTGGTGCTGAAAGCCACAAGAATTGATGAGTTCACCAAAGAAGAATATATTTGGGGGCTAAAAGAAGAGGTTCTAGGATAGAGCCCTGTATTAATAATTGAAAGAATTGTTAGCGCTTACGAAGGGTTCTTTCTAAGAAGGGATGGGCAAAGAGAGGTACAAAGAAAACACAACTGATGTTGGTCGAAGTCTAGTGCATTGTAAACTGTAAAGCACTGTGATGGAAATTTATTTATTTGCTATAGGTGAAGGAATCCTTTGGACTGGCCTAAAATTTACAGTGATTCAGAAAGTTCCTAAACATAAAGCTTTAAGGATATAATGTAGATCAGTGATACTTTTTAGTTAGGAATACTATAAAAGTATAAAACTTAGCATCATGTAGAGGACAGTGTGCTATATGTTATTAGTATAAACTAGAATATCTGCTGCAAAAAGGTTTATTGACACATTTTTAAGGTGGGTGTTAAGTTTAGAGATTGCTTCTGGTGACATTTGCTAGAGTGGAGACACTTCGAAGTGTTTTAAATGATTGACTGTTGGTGCAGGATTCCTTTTTAAAGAGGGACTTTTTCCCTCTTTAAACCTGGCTTTTTCACCTGGCTAGGGTGACTTCTGGAGCTGTTTTTGGAGTGCAATATTACAACTGGAACCATACGAAGTATCTTTATGTTAATAAAATCTCTGCGTGGTTTTTCCATTTCCACTCAGAGTTTTTCCCATTGTGATTCTGAAAATAGCATAAAAATTGCTTTATCAGGTTTGTCAGTATCTCTACTTAATTCAACCTGAAAAACAGACTTGTCTTAAAATTTAGGTAAATTTTAATAATACATTTTTAAAAATTCAATTGGACCTTTTTTGTTTCTTTTCCTTTTTAATTTCCTATAATATATTGACAATGAAAAACTGATCTCAACAATCCAATATTTTTTTAAAGATACCATCTTTTTTAAAAATATATTTTTATTCATTTTCAAATAGAGAGGAAGGGAGGGAGAAAAAGGGAAAGAAACATCAATGTGAAAGAGAAATATCGATCTGTTGCCTTTCATATGTGCCCCAAACTCACAACCCAGGCATGTGCCCTGACTGGGAATTGAACTAGCAACCTTTTGCTTTGCGGAGTGACACCCAACCAATTGAGCCACATGGGCTAGGGCAAGAGTTCATATTTTTAATGAATTAATTAAGTAGGATGTAGAGACCATAGGAAACAGGGCGATTTTATTTTTATTTGTTAAGTTATATTTTATTGATTATGTTATGACAGTTATTCTGATTTTTCCCCCTTTGCTCCCCTCCACCCAGCACCCCTCCCTCCCTCAGGCAGTCCCCCCACCATTGTTCCTGTCCATGGGTCAGGTGTATAAGTTCTTCGGCTGCTCCATTTCCTATACTGTACTGTACAGCCCCGTGGCTCTTCTGTAACTACCTATTGGTGCCTCTTAATCTCCTCACCCCCTCACCCATGTCCCCCTTCCCCGCCCATCTGGCACCTTCCAGTAACTAACTTCTTTTCTCTTGCTTTGTTTTTTAAATTATTGTTCAAGTACAGTTGTCTCTATTTTCCCTCTTCCACTCCTCCCACCTCACCCATCCCCTCCTCCCACCCTCGATCCTACACTCTTGGCTTTGTCCATGTGTCCTTTATACATGTTTCTTGATGACCCTTCCCCTCTTTTCCCCCATTATCCCCCTCCCTCCTCCACTCTGATTACTGTCAGTTTGTTCCTTATTTCAGTGTCTCTGCTTATGTTTTGCTTGTTTATTTGTTTTGTTTATTAGGTTCCCCTTACAGATGAGATCATATGGTATTTGTCTTTTACTGCCTGGCTTATTTCACTTAGCATAATGTTCTCCAGATCCACCCATGCTGTCGGGAAGGGCAGGAGTCCCTTCTTTCTTTCTGCTGCGTAGTATTCATTCCATTGTATAAATGTACCACAGGTTTTTGATCCACTCATTTACTGACGGGGACTTAGGTTGCTTCCACATGCCTAGTGAAGTTGGAGGCCAGGTCCCCAGGAGGGAGTGCCAGAGGCAACCTATTGATGTATCTTTTCTCCTGCTTTTAAGAGTCTCTCTTTATCTTTAACTTTTGGCCTTTTAATAATGATGTGTCTTGGAGTGGGCTTCTTTGCATCTATCGTAATTGGGACTCTCTGTGCTTGAAACAGGGTAATTTTTTTTAAAAACCTTCAAAATAAAACAACTCAAAAACGAATGCCAACAATTTTTTATCTTGGCCAATTAAAGTCATTATCATTTTAATTTTTTTAAATTTAAAAACCAAATTTAATTTTTTACATTCTAACTACCTGATTATATTTCAGTTCAGAAATTAGATTTTGCCTTGTGCCTGTTAAAGCACGCTCCTCTCCACTGTTGACATGGCTTTGGAAAGGCCACTAGGGGTTGGGTAAAGGAGGTTTGGCCTCCAGAAAGGAATGCAGGTCTTTATGGGTTTTTCTTTTCCACAGTTTCTAGTTGATGGTATCAGTGTTTTTTCTTTTGTCCAGCTGAAATTCAGGTGAGACACATTACAGAATTCTTCTCGATCAGTGTTATGGCTTTGTCCTTTGTTACATAAGTTTGTAGGACTCTGCCAAAGAACCTGTCCCACTAGGCTGTGCCACTGGGTTGTGTCAGAATAACCCCGCTCTGCAGCAACAGACCCAGTCGGCGCACTTGTAGGGAGAGTGTGGCATGGCAGCGCCGGGCCTTGCAGCACGGTGTGTTCAGTCGGGACCTCGTTTGTCACATTCACTCAGATACTCCCGGAATAAACCCTAGTCTGCCTGTACCTTGGCCTCATTTCTTCATCTCCACCATACACTGTTTATCTGTCGCCCTTCCTAAACTTGAACACCGTGGGCAGGATATTAGCAGTATATTAGGTGGCGGATCTGCCGTCTTGTAGCGCTGCAGGGAGATGGCAAGTTTCCGTGTGCATGTGTCGGTCACCTTGGACTGCAGGACTTCACTGTCACTGCCAGTGAGCATGGATTGTTCAGGTAATTCTGTATAGTCTCAGCTCTTAGTTTGAAACAGAAAAGAGTACCTGTCCATTTTGGATAAACACAGAACTGGACGGCTTTGCCTCCTTAGCTCCCATTTCTGTCACCTTCAGTATGCAGGTGTATTGGGATGAATCTCCAACAGAGTATAGCGAACTCACTGGCAGGTGTGGTCTGAAAAGTGAATTCTCCTTTTCAGAAGTCAGGCGGCAAAGATTGTGGTTCATGGCATTTCTCTTACTGTGTTCTCTGCGATGGGAGTCAGGTTGCGTGCGCACTTTGTGCACTGACCATGAGCATCACGTCTGATGTACATGGGCCTGCGTGTTCCATGCTCAGCCTAACTTGAGTCTCCTTATCATCCACCAGGTGATGAAGGTGGAGAATCAGAACTTCTGGGAGAGGATCTTCCACTTGAACCTTCTGTTGCCAGAGCGGAAAGGAGTCACTTGATAGTGTGGCAAGTGATGTATGGCAGTGAGTGAGCCCATGGACACCGGTCGAGACGGGGAAGCCGTCTCTTCTGCATGGTTTCTTTTCCCTCTTCCTCTTTATTTAATGCTCTCTTAGTGAAATAAGTTTCACCACATAATATGTGAGCATTTTTTTTCCCTGTTAACTTTACAAAATCTGTTTTACTGTAACAATACAGGAACTAGCTGTTTTACTGCACCAGTGTTATAGGCAATTTCAGTATATTATGAACAAATCAAAGAATGTTTACTTTCTGCAAACTGGTGAATTATAGAAAGCAATCCAGATGTGGTTTATTCTGCCACAGCTAACGTCACTCACTTCGTTTGATGGGGTCACTTCTTAGCTGTCACTAATAACGGAATTAACGTAACTACTTGGTAAATGAAGCTGTACCATTGAGTACAATAGTCAAGTTCCCCCCAATGTACTATAAAATTGACACAAACTAATATTGGGTGGATTATCAGGATATATCCACGTGTCCTGAGAGGGCTAAACGCTAACTGTACATTACTTTAACTTTCACTTTCAAATCTGACAAATCTTGTTTATATGGTATATAAAAACTTTGTTTTCATCAGATTTGGGGGGGTTTTATATTAAAGAAATTAAGACTACACTATTTAAATAAATGTTTCCTATTTCTGACTTAATAGAGCTCTAAAGTTTATGAGGCCTGCTTCTCTGAATATTCTGATTTTTTTTTTTGAGACTAGTTTCACTCATTTTCATACTAATATGTCTGAAAGATTTATATTTACGAGGTTTAAAAGATAGGCATCAGCAATGGGAGGATTTTTTTAAAAAGGAAATCGTGTTTTGGATTCCTTGTACCAGCAGGTGGTGGTGGTTGGCTGAGTTTTTTCATGTAAAAAATGTACCTGTTTACTAATTGTCCTTGGACTGCCGTCACCTGTTAGTAAGAGTAAAGCTGGACCGGCGATGGAGTGTGGCCTAACGAAGTGAGGGAGGGGACTTCATTAGAAACGGTGTTTTCTCTTGTTCTGTATAAAACTGCAGGACAGCTTGCACTTGGTATTTTGTATGTAAATGACGCAGTTGAGCTTTTATGCCCTTGCGAGATTAAAATGCCATCTTCAAAGAGGGAAACTGTGAAGGGCAAGATGACAAAGCAAGATACCGTGGAGTAAAAGTCGACATGACATCTTTTCACTCTGGTTGCCCATTTGAAAATAGAGCCTCGGTCTAATGTTTCCTTGCCTAGTTTTTTAAAAACCATTATGCTGCAGTTTTTTCCTCTCACACTTCTTGAAAATGTGTGATTGACCATTTTTTACTCATTACTTTACACAAAACAAAATATAAATTTAAGTGCTATTTTAAAAATGTAAACCTACTGGATAAAGACCCCTCATCAGAAGAACTACTTCAAAGAAGAGAAAGCGAGCACAGGTCTCGGTTGCCTAAACATTCTTAAGTACCAGGGATTTTTTTTCTCTGAACCATCATGTAAAGATGTTTGTGAAAGGACACCAGTGTCTTTGAAGCATATGCATGATTAGGCGAGATTAGAAAAGACATGAAATTGAGTGAGCCGGAGGAGACCTTTGGCTCCACGGGGCCACCTGTACCTACAAGCACACCGCGGACGCAGTGAAGTTGTGGCCGAGTTAGATGGCTAGAAGGGAAAAACACTTGGTAAAAGCTGCATTGAAATGATGGTTTTTTTGCTTGAGCTACACGCTTTTCTTCAGGGCACCAAAACTTAGGCCACTTTTCCATCACATATAAGCTGTGTTTTTATTTCAGTTTCAATCTGTCATTTTTGGCAATACCTTTAAAAACCCACATTCTTAAACATGTTTGGGGAATGTTGTATAAATTCACAAAAAAGAAACAGAACGTGTTTGGGCACTTGAGTCCCATAGTCACACCCCATTTGCTCTTCAGTCTCCTCCAGGTCTGTGTGACCGAATGTGAGTCAGGAAATCAGGATTTAAAGACGAGAAACGCAAACAAACACGTTACGATGATTGTAATTGCTCTTTTAAACTTACTGACTTCACCTTAAGGAATATGAGTGTGTAGGTATTTTATCTATAGAATTGTCAGATTATCTTTGGCCCCGTTGATTAACTTCAGGGCTAAAGAGAGTATAAAAATGCCTGTACAATTTGTTTTAAGGGCTTGTCCTCATGTTTGTAATTTCAGTTAAATATTTCCTACAGATTGCTTTATTTCCCCCTTTTCCCCAATAATAGGTTTATATTCTTGTAACATTCGCTTTGTTCAAGGTGGTAACCTGTGGAATAATGCCAAAATGTAAGCTTCTTGTAAGCAGTACGGTGGTTGGTGTAAGCAGCCTGTAGCTTGCGCATCAAGGGTAGAAAAGAGGCTTGAGTACCTCAGGTCGTCTCTCCATGTTTAAAAAAACATGTGCCCCTCCTGGAAGAAAGAAGGGGTGCCTGAGAGTTTTCTCACTTCATTGTGCTCGGGGCGTGTGTGAGGCTGGACCCCAGGAAACTGCGGGCGGCCGGCCCTTGCCCAGTGGCAGTGCCACGTACATCGGGCTGACCCCCTGCTGTCACATGCCGGTGCAACGGCCTGTGAGGCAAAGGGAGAAGATTCTCTAGAAACCCAGTTTTGAGTGTTTTTCTCTAATTCTTATGAATCTAAATTTTTTAAATAGGAATTAACATATTAAGAGCTGCAGCTTGTTGAGAGTATAAAAAGTTTGGAGCACAGAGTATGCAGCACATAACTTTTCCAAATTGTGTGTTTGCATAGAAAAGGTTAAAATGTATTCAGTTGCTGTAGTGTTCATTTCTTGTAAAGATCTTCCTGCATTAGAAAATAGACCCTTTAACAATGGCTGCCTTAGAAACAAAACAAAGCAAAACAATTGTCTTATAATATTAACTGTCCTAAAGAACGTGTGTCTTGCAAATGCTGTGGAACCGAATATTTATTTCCTTGTGAGTATTATGACCGTTACCAAAGGACTCGACCAGATTTAGGGCTCTTCTTAATTGATCATGCTGAGAAAGGGACCCATTGGTCCCAGTTTGTAACATGGGAAGAGTAGAGAGAATTAAATGTGGAAATTATAGACGCTTTTCTAACAGGGTTATGCTATTTTTTTTTTTTTAATCCTCTCCCCCAAGGACATTTTGTCATTGCTTTTAGAGAGAGGGGAAGGGAGAGGGAGAAACATCGATGCGAGAAAGAAGCATCGATTGGTTGCCTCCCATATGTGCCCCGACCATGGGTCAGACCCAAAACCTTTCGGTTAGGGGATAATGCTCAGACCAACTGAGCCACACCGGCCAGGGCCAGGGCTATGCTGTTTTAGAATACAAAATGTCTTTTTATTTCTTTCTCTTTAAAAAATTAAGTTTTTGTTATTGTTGTCATACATTTCTCAATATTTGACTATATTTTAACCATTTTATGTTCTGAATTTGTTTTTTTGTTATAGATATTTTATCCAGAATTTTACTTGCCTCTATAATCTGAAAAATGGATTCTTGAGTGTCCTACTTGCTGTCTCTTAGAGGCTGAGGCTTCATTTCTATGAGCAAAAAGCTCATTTAGCAATGTAGTTATTTCAGTATTTATTTCTATTATGGAATCCCTGGGGTTCGGAATGTAACTTTGTACATGAAATATATATAAATATGTATATGAAACATGTATGAGGTCCGGTGTATTTTGTTTTTGCCTTTCCTAGCAGTCTGAATTTGGTTTTTATTTGAAAGCCCAATATCTTCTTCGATCAAACATGTCATTTCTGAGGGGCTGCCGTATCATTCGGCCCTGGCTGAAGGTGAGCCAATGAGAATATACAAAGAACGTGTCTGCTTGGCTCACATGTTCACATGAGACATGAATAATAGACAGCAGGGCTTTCTAGCAACGTAGGTGTGCTGAGTAATGGCCCACACATGACAGCAAGGCATGCCATTCGCCAGCTTACTCAGTAATAAGAGCCGGGCTGCAATGCAGATGTTAACGAGATGGTGTGCTTGTTTGTGGTCCGTTTGCTTGGGAGAGACTGTGGGAGGAAGGGTGATTATAAAACGAACCATGTGGTAGCACAATGTGAACCCATACTCAGTGCAGTGGTATTTAGACTAATCCAGTGTATTTTGTTTATAAGAAATATGGGTTTCTGATGTGAGAGTAAAAGGAGCTTTGATTGGCATGTTAATAGGACAGTTTGCTAGACAAAGACACAGCCATCTATCTAGTGAGGTTGGATGCTCTAGAATCTAATTAACAGCCTGGCTCATTCCTGACCTTACCTAACTGCCCGTCACGCCCCTGGGGCCTGCCAACGCGTTGTTTCGGAAACTGATTAATTCTTTTCAGCCGCATTCAGTCATCCTCCTGACCCAGCCAGCCTCTAATGAGAAGCTCGAGCAACGTCACAGGACAGGAAGTGTTCATTTTAATTTTGTTGGGGGAACAGGACAGAGTGCTGTCCTCGTCGCTGGAACTGCTGCCTGCAGCCCCACCCAGTGGCGAAATGGGCTCTCACATCTTCGTGGAGAGGTACAGCCCGAGTCCTCAACCCAAGCCCTTCCTCACCCGCCCTCAGGGCGCTCCTGTTCTGTGTGGGCTCAAGAGCCCTGGCCGTCACCATGGCTGCAGCTGCATTTCCTCAGTGGCCAATTTGTTCGAAAAGGTTTTGTATTACGGAACTTTTCAAAATGCCTAAATATTTGGTAATGACTGCAGTTCAGTTTTAAAGTTAGTTCCTTTACAGACACGATGGTGTAATGGCAGAGCAGGCTGTAGACACGCCCAGGCTCTGCCCCTGCAGTGACCCTAGACAGGTCATTGTAACACAGCACCCTAGAATCACCGGGAGAAGCATCAGACACCACCCCAGACCTACCTGCTGAATTGAATTCTCTCGTGGGGTCTGAACCCAGCATCTGTGAAGTGTCATAGGTAGTTGTGCTGTGTGGCTAAGGCTGAGGGATACTGTTTAACATCTGTGGACCTTAGTTTTCTCCTGTATTAAACGTAGGTGGCTCATCCATGTGATGTAAGAAGAATCCTAGCTCTAATCCCCTCTGGTTCTGCGACCCTGGCTCTAGTTTGCCTGAGTGTGTTGTATGTATACACGCCACCCACACCCGCTTGCAGATCTAGCGTAGCCCAGCCCCCAGGAGGCCCAGGTTTCTGGTGGGCAAGAATCCCAGCTTATCAGAATGACGCTGTACAAAGGAGCTGGAGAGTTTAGCTCCTTGCTTTTCTCTCCACACAGAACATTGGCTCCCATCCACAGGAAAAAAAGTAGGTACGATTTGATATGAGGCCTCAACGGGGAGGTAGACCAACCAGCCCCAGCTCAGGGCGGCTAGCAACTTCATGGAAACGCCACAGTTCTCACTCAGCCCGGCCAGGAGAAGGGAGTATGGCCTGAAGCGCCCCAGAGTTAGAGCCCAGAATGAATTTCCTTCTTCCCCGATCTAAGGACTATCAGTTGTGTATTTGGTAAAGTGATTACCCAGGTGATTCTGATTCTTATGTTCAGAACTGAGGAAGCGGCCCGGCTGGACTCACAAACATCTGTTTTCTCAGGATCGCAAAGCCTTACCCCTTCTTAGTTGGTTATTACCAGCACATGGCGACCTGTCAGCAGGCTCAACCCAGTGCTCTT